CTTTAATGCTTTGACATGTGAAGGCTGCAAGGGCTTCTTCAGGTGACGTTGTTTCAATCATGTCACTCACACATGCAGCTGTAGCACTTCCCTTGTTTATGCAACTGAATTAAATTCCTAACAACTTATTCAAGCAGGAGCTTTTCACCCAGATCAACAGTTACACACCCACAGTAGTTGTGAACTGATAACAATCAAAGGTTGTAAAGTTCCTGGTTGGTTCATTGTCGTCACATACAATGTCATACGTTAATACATTATGTGTGTTTTAATGCATGTGATTTTGAACTTCAGATTGGTTTTTGAGGTTATTACTGAGTGGATTTTAAAATCAATTCAGACGTGCCATAAAGAGGTCAACGCAGCTCCGCTGTAGGTTCCAGAACAAATGCAGCATAACCAAAAACAACCGACGGTCGTGTCAAGCCTGCCGCTTCCGTAAATGCCAGGCCATAGGCATGCGCCAAGAGAGTAAGTAACATCCAGATACAAAGAATGATTTTGTGTTTTTGTATTGGTAGCATGTGATTAGAGGAGCTTAAATGTAAATGCTGGAGGGATTATCATATTTGATTGAATGGGCATATTAATATGGTACTAGTATTTATATTGTATCTTTATTTGCTTTTAAACTTTTTTATTTCAACAAAATACAGTCCTACAGGAGTTATTTAAACGTATCAGATTTAAAACATAATTTTTTTAACAGTCAGAAGTGTTTTAATCAGTTCCTATACATATTTTTGTGTTCTTTTAGTGGTCATGTCTGAGAAGGAAGTAAAGGAGAGGAGGATCCGCATCCAGACGAGGAAGAGGCTGGATGCACCAGTGGAGCTTTCCTCCCAACAAGAGGAAACCATTAAGGAGCTTCTCTGCAGCCACCGCCAATCCTTCGACTTTTATCGCTTCAGTGGCTTTAGGGTGCGTGAATGACTGTCAACATGTTTGAGGTGTTGTCTCTGTTTTATCATTTCTCACTGACACTTTTTTTTTTCTTTCAGCCTATGGACAGAAACGCCCTTCCTGTAGGTGAGGACGAGTCTGAAAGCGAGCTGTGCTCCCTCTCCTCCACCAGTCTCTCTGGTTCCTTTGAAACACCAGAAAACCAAGAGCATGAAGAGGCTGGGAAAAAAGGCAGTGTTTTCACTGCTCTTCCACACGTGGCTGACCTGACCACTTACATGATTCAGGACATCATTACTTTCTCTAAAAGTCTTCGGTACTTCCAGTAAGCGTTTACCTCAATGCATTTTCATTTACATTTGTTTTATATTTGGAAAAAAGTATTCACTTTTAATTGTGTGTCTCTTACAGATCTCTGAACATGGAGGATCAAATTTCTCTGTTAAAGGGAGCCACATTTGAAATAATGCAGATACGCTTCAACATGGTGTTTAACACAAAAACAGGAATCTGGGAATGTGGCCATATAACTTACTGCATAAATGACGCTGTACGAGGTGAGAACACTTTATATTGGTTATTTGAAATAATATATATATATATATATAAATAGGAATAAACTTAGCTGTTTCAACTCTACAGCTTGAACATGGTAAGGGACTGTACTTACTGTATATAGCGCTTTATAAGGTATTTTCAACACCTTAAAGCGGTTTACACACTACTAGTCATTCACCCATTCACACCTTCATGCAGTGTCACTTGCTCTAGGAACAAAAATGTATACACATTCATACACCATTGGCCATGCTATCGGGAGCAACACAGGGTTAAGTATCTTGCCCAAGAATATATTGACATGGGATCGAATCCACAACCTTCTAGTTGAAAGACGACCGCACACCCTCACGGCCACAGTCACTCCCACATGTACAGATGAGCACCCAAAATATATATTTTTAAGTGGAGGCAACACAACAAGCTTTAAACACAACACAACATACTGTATCATCCCCTTATACAGTGCATGTCAAACGCACTGGTGCAGTTGCCTATAAACACATCAAAGTTCAGTATTAATGCTCTGGAAGTATGTTACTCTTTAGCTAGTAAATGTTTGGTTGTATTTACCAGGTAGTTGCTGTATGTTTCTGCTGTGTAGTGTTGTTGAGCAGGTAATGTACTGTGGGTTTATCAGAGCTTTTCTAGGGAAAAAGCTGCGCTCACCACTGGGCCCCTGGTTCAGAGCCCTAGTTTGAAGTCACTATTAGCATTTCCGGTTCAGCAGTCAATCAAAAATAACAAACAGATCAAATATCAAAGAGACACAGAATAACCAAGAAGAGATGCCAACAAGAGATACACAAAACTACCAAAAAGAGTTGAATAGTTCAAAGGAACAACAGCATTTAGCATTAAGCATTACATTAAGCATTACATTTGGCTCTTTTCTGCTGTAACAAATGTAAATTTCCCCTCTGTGGGACGAATAAAATGATTCTGATTCTGATTAGCATTAATGTTCGCAGCTTAAGTAGCAGGGATTACAACATGTTTTCATCTGCATCACAGAGGTATGTACTGTATGTGAGGAACCTAGGTTTTAAGTAACATTGTTTAAAGGTTAACAGAACAGAAGCAGCCTTATGTCAAGTATTACTGATTTACAGATGCAGTACATTAGATAAAAAAGCAACACCTGCAGACTCAAATTTCAGTTCCGGATTGAGCTCTGCCAAAAAGTTATCTGACCTGAGGAAGGGGTCAATGTGTACGCATTAGTTTCTCACTTCCCTTGTTTTGGTTTCCATTAGTAAGGCACCACGTTATACAGTATGAAGTTGCTAAGTAGCAAATAATAGTAGTACCTTTTATTTTAAAGTTAGACAAGTGCTGTTGAACTTCCCTCACCCCCCTTATCTCATGCTCACAGAGGTGTAACGTGACTAGCGGGGAGCGTTTCCCAGAATGTTGTCAAACCGGTGTTGTCTGCTAATGTCTAGAGAGCAAATGGAATTCAATGACTGTTCATGCATGTCTCTTCCAGCTTGGCAATCCCTTGGCTGGCAGACAGTCTTTAGACAAGAATGAGAATCAGCTGTAGGCCAGGTGTTCACGTACAAGTAAATATGAATATAAATATACACTTTTAACTCTAGGTCTCAGTCTTTTTCCAGGTAAGTACAAAAAACATTAAATATTTCCTTGTTTATGAACACCCGGACAATAAAGCTTAAAATGAAGAATAATTAAATAATATAACAATTAACAACCAACTGACTTAATGTGGATTCAATACATTGTGCCTCATACTGTGGAAACTAACTCAGGCAAGGAACTTGAGCACACTTAGTTCATTTTCATGTTTTTCCCTTGTGTCACTGTCTATTATTCTTTTACCATCTCTGTCCCATAGCGGGTTTCCAGCCACTTCTGCTGGAGCCTCTGCTTAAATTTCACCACACGCTGCGCGACCTGTGCCTGCAGGAGGAAGAGTACGCCCTCATGCAGGCCATGTCCCTGTTTTCTCCAGGTAGCATCTTCAGGATTTTCATCAGTTCCTCCCTGTTCTTGCTAATCAATCATTTATAAACCCTGTGAATATTTAAAACCTAGAAACAGTGTGCGTTTGAACCCAGTCAAACGTATTTTCAACATTCTCATATTTGCTGTTGAATAGTAAGCGTGATTTTATTTGATCAGACCGTCCAGGTGTGCAGCAGCACCGTGTGATTGACAAGCTTCATGAGAACTTGGCGCTGACTCTAAAGTCCTGGATTGACTGCAAGAGGACAGGACCAGAGAAACAGTGAGTGTAATACATAGCGCCACCCTGGGACCACTCCCTTTTAAATCTTTCTCAGATTCCCCCTCCTTTGTTTCCTCTGTGCTTGCAGCCTGCTGTACCCCAAAGTGATGTCCTGCCTCACTGAGATGAGAACAATGAATGAGGAGTACAGCAAACAGGTTCTGCAGATCCAGGACATCCAGCCGGACATTATCTCGCCTCTCATAATGGAGATGGTCAGTAAAAACCCCTGTAGTGACTTCTGATAGCGACATCTACTGTTCATAGCCGGGACCAGCTCAATGTGCTCATTGGTTTGAAGAAGCCTTCTGTTTTTTATGTTGTTAAATGTGTCCAAATACTAAAGAATGCACTTACATCATGTGATAGTCCAAAGCACAAAATCCAGATGAAGATAATCAAGTCCTGCTGAAATATAACACTATCAACTTTCAAGTAAGCTATGAATTAGAAGGACACAATTAAGTGTCAGGGGTTACAGTGGCAGTGGATTATGGTAGATTTAACATTTGTGTCATTTGTTTTACCTACAGTAAGTGGACTTTGTGTGTCTATGAATGAATGCTGACATAACGTTTTTTGAAGAGAATTGAGAGAGAAGATGAACGTTGTATTTTCTCAGAGAACGGTCAGAGCTGTAGTTGCAAAGACAATCTTTGTATTTTATATTTGTTACCTCAGATTCATGTTTAGTGTTTGATGCATTCATGTGAAACAAGAAGGCTCTACACATATTGTAAATACAAATGCTCTGGGGCCTCTCTAGGGCCATAAACATCATAAGACAAACACTGCCCCACTGTGGTCATTCTGTCGAAAAATAAAACGGATCAGTTGGTCAGGAAATCTGGGCTAGTCAAAGAAGTAGGACCTAAACCAGAGGGCACGACCTTGCAATTAAAAATATTCTATGTTAAGATGTACTGTTAATTTATGAATTTATAATCATTAAATGGTCTGCTGCTGTTTTTCATTGTCAATTAGAACTCAACAGTGTTTTTATTTCAGAGTTCAACTTATATAATCATTGTTGCACTTTTTAGCCATGCTAATGCCATAGTTCGAAAAAGGGAAACGCAAATGTGAACATGCTGAAGCCATCATCTCGTAAACTAGTGTTGAGAGTAGAGGGAGAGAATTGTTATCTTTTATCAAATTAAGTTCTTCCTTCCAATAAAATGTTTAGCGAATTCGATGCAAGTCTCAGGAACATTTACCACCAAAACACTGACCAGGTTATACACATTTACCACACTCTTACTCAAAGAAGATGGAGCAGACAAAGGTGTTGATCATTTCCAGGCTATCCTACTCTTTATTTAATGCAAATTACAGTACCAGGGAACTATTCCTCAGAGCACGCAGAGGGAATATTTACAGAGGTGCACATTTAGCATACCTTCACAGAACAAAACAAAAAAATGAAATCAAAGTTTCAGTCACAAACGGAGGCATTCAAGTAGTAGTACTGTTATACAGGATGTTGTGTGGTACTCTTTTTCTTTAAACCCAGTTAACATGTTAAACGTGTGTATATGCCAGCATAATATTTTATACTAGTATATAAACTTATTTTTTGGTAACCTTTGTGGTGTTTTTATTGAACTGGAGTTAGGGGGTAGGGTGAGGTGTTCAGTCTTTCTTGTGGAGGGTAGCAACACGTTCATGAATGCAAAATTACAGCAAGCAGGAGACAGGAGAGAGGCTACATGACTCGATGCCTTAGGTGCTACTGAAGTGTGCAGACAGGAAGGAGAACAAGCAAAAAGGACAAAAAAAGATCCAGGAGACAGAGTACATACATAACTGCCTCATCACAACTACATCTTAGTTTGGCTTTTGGTAACAGAACCAACACTGTGAGTTACACAGAAACGATACTGTATTGACTACAGTATACGAGGCCTTTTTTTAACCCCCGCTGCCATCCCCCAAACCCACTTCATGCCCCGGAGCCTGTGGTATACAAGTTTGTGCTGTGCGTGCATGTGTGTCCAAAATAAAACATCTATTAAAATAAACACTACTCGTATCTTCAGTTAAGGAAAAAATAATCCTTACAATAATGAACAATGTCTGTATATTACATTAAGTGTGCAATGAAAAATGGGAAGAGGTGCGAGTGGAGGGGGACTGAAAATCGTGTGTGTGTGTGTGTGTGTGTGTGTGTGTGTGGACATTCAACAGCACCAAAGGGAGAGTCCAAGTCAGGGGGGGGAGTGGGTGATGGAAGGGGGAGGCGGGTGAGAGGGGAAACAAGGCGAAGGTGTATGAAAGCAAAGGCACTCCAAACTATAGTTACACTATACATGACTAGTTGGTGTTACAATAATACAGCTGTCATCTACTGTACTGTACAGGTAAGATTGAACATATGGCTGGATAAAGCTGATCATCATCATCTCTACAATATCCATAAACATCAGTTTTGCCCTGATTGTTTTTTTTTAATCTTTTCTTTCATTTCTTCTTTCCCTACCTTTTATCATCTTTGTTTTTGCTCATAAACAGTACATGGGTCTGCATACATACATACCTTGAAAACAACATGAACAAAAAATAATAAACATAAAAAAACAAAATACAAGTCAGAATTTTGGTGAGGAGCATTTATACTGTATATACAAATTCTGCTTTTCTTTCTTTTTTTTTTCTTCTTTTTTAAATGTAGTGAGTATTGTCTGTAAATAAGACGCTTGGACAGACTGTACCGAGGGGCTCTTATGTGCGGCGGGGGGGGGTCGGGGGAGCGAGAAGGCTAGGCTAACACTTCAGTCAGTGGTCACAGAACAGGAGACAGTCAGAGGTGAGGGGACCGACGCCAGAAAGAAAAGTGATGAGAAACACCGTGAACTTTTCACAGAGACTGAGAGAAAAAGGACGGGGGGGGACGGGGGGGGAGATGTTCGTCTAGAAACTGCACTGTCACAGAAACACTGTTACAGACAGAGTCGGTACAAAGACAAGGAATAGAGCAATGCCCTAAATCCATCTACAGCCTTAATACAGACGACACAGGGCAGACAGCTGGAATCTAACAACACTCCAGCAAAGAAAACAAAAACACCACCTCATCTAGATCTATTGTCTTTAGGCAGCAGCAAATATTGCCACTGCTCTGCCAGATATGAGCTCACCATAAATGATTTCTGAACCATTGTAGTTAATATACATATATCTATATATACTTTTTATACATAAGGAAAAGTAATATATAAACTGTGTATGTATGCAAGTTTGTTTTGTATGTATATATTATACAAGCACACAGGACCAGATACATGTCACATCCATCGCACATGGCAATCCAAAAACATCTGCCCAGGAGTACAAAACAATTTAAAACAAGGTCGCGTAAAACAGCTTTTCAGACCATTTAAAAACAACCCTAGGCAACGGGAAAAAAAAAGAAACCTGTCCAAACGGTACCCCCGCAAGTGGACTGCGTCTTTCCACATACATCAGGATCATCATGCACCCATGTGTGTGTGTGTGTGAGGATGTACATGTGTGTTTGTGAGTGTGTATGTGTGTGTGTATACCCGTGCGTGAGCCTCATGCCTTGTCTGCAGAAGTGGAGTTGAGAAGTGAGAGGACGTGGAGACCCCCGGGAGATCCTAACCATACTCAGGCCATGCACTACAGGAGGAACCAAGGGGGGGGGGGGGGGGTCGGCCAGGGGACACATCGGGGTCAGAGGTCAAAGGATGCAGAAAAATGGGACGAGGAGGACGAAGGGGGAAGGCCGGAGAGGGGGAACAGCTTAGGACTTTTTCTACAGATTGTCCTCTTACAAACATTAGCAGGCTAGCATTGTGTATACATGTACAGTGTACTTTAACAAGAGTACACTCGACAACACCTCTGGCCCTGCGCTTTGCTTCCCCGTCGAGAGGGCACGGAGAGACGTCTTTGAGGGAGGATGGAGTAGAGTTCAAACAGCTGGATGAAGGGCCAGTCAGGGACAAAAGATCAGGGATTAGGGGGGCTTGGTTTGTGGTTTTGGCATGGGGCTGTGGGCTAGCTGTTGAACCCGGACTGCGTCAGCATTGCTCCGCTGCTGTCGGGGGGGGAGAGCGGGGCGGAGCTGAGCGGAGATCACGTCTGAGGGCTCAGGAGGTGGAGTTGGAGGCCGAGGCGGAGGCGGTGGTGGTGCTGGGGCCTCGCTCTGTGCTGCTGCCATCTGAGGAGAGGAGCAGATCTACAGTCAAACTAATACTTGTATTGTAAAGAAACAATTGAAATAAGAATGGTTTATAATATTTACATTATTTATTGCACGTCATTTATTGTATATTTTAAATGTTCTGAGCAAGATCCTTAGCACCAAACTGAAGCTGCTAATTGACACACAATTAAAGGTTATTTTGATACCCAAGTGTAAATGTGTGAGTATGTATTTTGTTGTGGAAGCAGTCCGCCTGCACAGCAGAGTTTAGTGCCCACAGTGCTTTTTAAAACACAATTTATAGCAAGTCGACAGAACTTTAAGTAGGAGTAACATTAGCGCCAGTACTTCTAATAAAGTATAGTGCCAGTGGAAGCGTCTAACCTGTGGTGGCAGAGGTGTTGGTGGGGGTGGAGGCGGCTGCCTGGCTGCGGGCGTGGGCTGGGATGAGTATGGAGGCCAGAGAGGGATTACTGGATAACTCTGAAAAAAAAGATGCCAGGTCATGTTTTAAAAATAGCATAAAGCATGGAAGCCATCGATAGAAAGGTGTTTTAATAGGTACTAATAGTTGTGCTTATCTATGTATGAAAACTGACGACACAGTACGAGAACACCTTTTCATGGAAAAAGAGACAAATAAAATACATTTAATCGTAGTGTTTACCAATACAAATTCAAACTTCTGAAAAAACTTTAATCCTTAAAAGAAGGTAAATCAATGAATCAATAAATTGTAAGTCATTTATTGAAGCAAATATTCTGGTTTAGTTTTGTTTCCAAATGTTACATCTGCTGGTTTGTTTTGTCTTTTGTGCTGAGCAACAGAACGTCCGTGCGTGTGCATGTACCCTGGGTGGTGAAATTGAACAGGGAGGGCTTCTCTCTCCCGTTGGGCAGTTTGACGTTGGGGTCGCGCAGCTCGTCAAAGAAAGAGTGTGCGCAGGCCTCTAGAGGGGTGAGGCGGGCGGTGGGGGTGTACTCCAGCAGGCGAGAGCACAGGGCGATGGCCTCGGGAGGCGTGCGCGGCCGGAACACCTGAACAACAGTTAGACACCAACACGGCTGTCAGCAGGGACACGGGAAGTCTGCTCTCAAGGAGAATACTGAAGACATTCAAATGTTTTTAACACATACACACGAAGACACAAAATGGACTAATGCAAATAAATGAAAGCACTTTCTATGACTCTCAGATCTAAAATGCATTTTGAACATACTTAAAATGCTTAGAAGTAACAGCACTGTATTATTATAGTTATAAACACATTTTATATAAAGCATTTTACAATTACTTTTAAATGTCATGTAATTGTAATACCTCAAATTGTTTGTCACTGACTGACATTTTAGATTTAATGAATATACATTATATTTTAATGTACTTAAAACAAACCATGAGCACTTACACCTATAACAAGCCAGCTTATTATGTATCATATCTGCCTATAACTCAGGAATGTCTTTACGTTACACTTAGAGTAACATTAATGGCATTATAATGAGATTCTAATGTTTTACATCCATTACAACTTGAAATTATAATACACTATGATCCTTGCAAAAAATGAGTTACAAGTTTAAAACACTATGAGAATTGACTCTAAAAGTCATTGTCATTGAGTATTTTTTGAAATCATGTGTCAATATAAATATAAATGTTATTTATATAGCGCTATAAGCAGATTACAACGCATTTTTAATACGTTTATAATGCATTATAGACATGGGCGTCATATTTAGTGTAAATGATGAAGCCTGCTCTACTTTAATGTAGAGGTTAGTGTGTAGGGGTACGACTGTCACTGAAGGACTGAGCGCTGCAGCAGTGAACAGTCTCAGTGACAGAGTGCAGTTGCAGAGAGTGACCACAGCGGGGCGCCTCAGAGTCTCACAGGAGGACCTGCTGACGCTGCTGCTGATTGGATGGTTTTTGTATCCAATGCAGGAGCTGAGGGTGGGACTGCTGAGGGTGGGACTGCTGAGGGGGAGCCAGGAAGAGAACATGTCCCTCTGGTTTATCATACCTGTTCTATCTTCACTATGACTAAAACAGGCACCAGATGAAGGCAGGAAGTGGAGAACTAAGGGGATATTCTGGTGGTGCCGGGTCAATCTGTCTTCAATAAACTGACAGATACAGCAGAGCAAAGTCAGGACTGTTGAGCCAATTTAAAAGCATGTTTAACTGACAGTCAAAAGCATCTGCCAAATAAACATTATGTAAAGTATTTAGCCATTACTGTACCTGCATTTAACTTGAAATATTGACCAAAAACGTATCATTTAAACCAGGATTTTAACGCATGTTGTGGCATTTTGTTAATCCACGACCGCTTAAAAATACCCGGTACCAATATTTAATACCTTACTCAAAAAGGAGCAAAATAAGAATACAAACAAGCCATATTTTATGGGCAAGCACGCCTCAGATAAAAAGCTTTGCATGCAAAATAAAACTATTTCAATAGAGCTTTATGACAACTGTGTAAGGTTGAGTATTTAGCCTGTATTTTATCCGTCACTCTTCACAGAGTCTGTAAGCTCAGAGCAGCTTTTGAGGCTTCATGCGGCTCTGTTGGGAGGATGTGATAAAGATGGAGGAAGGATGGCATGCAGGTATGATGGGAGACACAAGCATGGAGACAAGCTGTGGATCTTAGAGAAGTAAAAGGGCTCCTGTACCTGTTGACTCACCTTAGTCCAAGGATGTGCCTTAATCTGGGGGAATTTGAATTCAGTGTAGTTGGGGTTCATCTCCCGGATCTGCTCTCGGGTCGGGGTGCCGAGAACCTGGAGAGGACAGGACAGACAAGAACAGGAACAATACGTCATCAACTGGAATTCAAAATATCACACATTTTCATCACTCATGAACAAGAAATCTTAGTGTCATATATCATCTGAGTATCGTTTATGAGGACTTATACATCCTGTGTGTCAACCCGAGTCATCACCTTTATAATTTCAACCAACTGATCCACTCCACTGTCACCGGGGAAGATTGGTTGTCCTAGCAACAGCTCTGCTAGCACGCACCCAGCTGACCACACATCTAGAGAGGAGGCAGGTCACAGAGAGGAGAGATGTCAGATAGAAGCGAAGGAGGTAAAAATAATAACATTTGACATCATATACAATCTGATAGTATTTAATTCTCTTTGTCCACACCAATGTATCATTCACAATCATAGAAGAATCGTAGTAGTATTCATAAAATCATCAACATCACCTGAGGTTACAGGGAAAATTCACCCCACAATAACATAAAAAATTTGTATTTCAAGATTGTTTTGGTGTGAGTTGCTAGGGGTTGGATATTTAGGTTATTTAGAGGGTCTGCCTTTACTTAAATATGATTGAATTATATGGCATTACGCTAGTGATCTAAATACATTTCAAAAACTCAACAGCAATGTCTCTCTCTAGAAATCAGGACCAGGAAGGCTTTGCTAAGTTGGCCAACAATGTCTGGTGGTTGTAGTTTGTTGGAGAAGTAGTCCCTACATGAATATTCAAGAGAAGGCAGACATCTATTCGGCCGATATCATCAACTCACACCAAAACAATCTTTATGAAAAGCAGGTCAAAGTAAAATATGTAATCTTATTAAGTGGCTTAATGGTTAACGTGTTTCCTTTGGCAGCTGGAGTCAGCTTACCTATGCTGGAGGTGTAGTCAGTGGCACCGAAGATGAGCTCAGGTGCTCGATAGTAGCGAGAGCAGATGTAGGACACATTAGGCTCCCCGCGGACCAGCTGCTTAGCACTGCACACAAAGTCAAAGCACATTATCACCTTCAGCATTTTGTGCTGCATTTCGGAAGAAAAAAGGGATATATGACCCAAGAGAAAAGCCTTGGGTAACATGTTCAGTTAATTGCTCAAATTGAGAACAAAGATTTTTCCCCATTTATAAGCTTCAGGGTAGAAACCAAACTCAAGATGAGAAGAACGATACTACTTCTATTTCTGTGTGATACATCTCTACAGCTTAGCAAAGAAGACTGTAAACTCAGGTAAAAGCAGTTTTCTTTTCTATCCAAAAAGGTAAATAAATGAACCTTTCAGCACCTCAGAAGCTGGATAACACTAAATATGTCTTGGTCGTTTCATCTGTACAAATAAATGAAGCAAAAAAGTAACATGTAGCAGTGTTACGGGGGATTATGTACCAGACTGTTGCTGAAATGTGCCAGGCCTAAAGCAATGACTCCAGGTAGAAACTATATACTCTATAATGTGATAAGTGTTGAGCATTAGAGGTGCCACGGTTTAGTGTGTAATCCTTTAGACACAGCTACGTTAGCTTTCTACTGTTTGAAGTCTTTATGCTAAGCTAACCCGCTGGGGGGGGGGCTATAGAATCATACTCTCTGCAAGAGGTAATAAGCTAATTTCTAAAAAACCTCTGACTATTCCTTTTAAACTCAAACACCGGTTTCTGAGGCCCCACTCACACGGGAACGTTTGCGTTTATGCACAGTATGCGTATTCAAAAAAGTCTTCCGTTCACATGCATTCGTTTAATTTAACGTGTCTGTTCAAACGAGGCCGCTGGAAACGCTGTAGTACATATGCCGGGACTGTAAGTGGCGCTGTAACTTCCGCCAAAATACACCAAAAGCAGCGAAGAAGAGCAGCCCGAGCAGCCCCGCCGCAATGTTGCCATGGCTACCCTTCTGTTTATGCCCCGCGGTGTATTTAGCAACATGTAGTTCATGTAATTCTCCATGTCCACTTGTTGCTGATGGTTGTGGTAGAGGAGCTGTAGATTTTGCACTAATATCTGTAGCATGGTCAGTAGCAGTAGCACTAGCAGTAGCTACTGACAGGAGGAAGTGTGTGTGGCGATTGCTGATATTCAGCGGGATATAGTCATTTCCTCAGCATATGGATAAATGCAACGGGGAAGTTAACTGAAAGAAACCGAATCTGTGGATATTGCATCGACCGACCAAGAAGCACGTCTCTGTGGAGAGGACCCGCTCAGAAAGAGAGATATTCTCTACAAACACCGGGTGAGATCGCTCCTTTGTCAATATAATGGATCAATGCATGAAATCTGACTCTGTTTATTTTGTTTAAGGAGTATATTGGGCGTTAACAATTCTGGTTTGCCTTTTATAATATTATTTCATTCAAGAACCCCTTGTGCGTTTAATTAACACAGCTATTTTTGATAGTTGCTACAGCAGTGAGCAGGAGAGGTGGGGAGAGGTGAGGCTATCGCTATTTTTTCAGGAAATATTCGTATAGAGGTGATTACACGGACTCGGTTGACCCCCCAGAGCGTTTCGTTTGCAAATCTATCCACCTTGGGACCCGTTATCGTTTGTGGGGTCAGTTTCTATCGGCCTCGTGTAAATAATAGGGCTATACGCACGCGAAACTATGCAGATACAAGCAGTTTTCTCCTCGTGTAAACGGCGCCTGAGTCTCACCTGCCAAAGTCGCAGAGCTTGAGCACAGCGGTCTCTGGATCCAGCAGCAGATTTTGGGGCTTGATGTCCCGATGACAGATCCCAAACGAATGGATGTAGGCCAGGCTCCTGAACAGCTGGTACATGTACAACTGCACACAGAAACACACACACAGGTTACAGTAACACACACAGGTTACAGCAACACACACAGGTTACAGCAACACACACAGCAAGCTCAGTTTTTATAACAGGGTTAAAGTCTGGAAACAAGCACTCATTTCAGCGACCGGTCAAGTACAACATGTATCAGCAAATGTCTCGACGACAGCGCCTCTTCAACTCCTGAACTTTGATAACGTGGCTCTTTAGAGATTACAAGGAACATTTCTGCCACTGCAAGGGATTCTTTCTTTCCTTAGATTCAATCAGATACTGGCGATATGGGTGATTGGGGATGTATGTATAATACTAAACTGATTCTAAGGTCGTTAATGCCAAATATGTTTAGCCATTAACTCTTTTAAACTACCACGACATTTCAAATCAAAGCAGGCGACATGTTTATTATTTCTTGCTACTTTTTGTGAATACTCATCCCACATTTCCTGTACTGATGAATATGTATGCATCTGCGTGGAGCATACCACTCCCTGTCGTGATAGTAACAGACACACACACATATTTATATACCTTAACATAAACCATGGGCAGGGTCTGTTTGGCTCGGCTGTAGTGTCGGGCCACTCTGTAGACAGTCTCAGGAACGTAATCCAGAACCAAATTCAGATACACCTCATCTTTCTGTTGGAGAAGCAACAACATGCAGACAGAGGAGATTAGTATAAAACATATTTCATAGTTTGAAATGTTCAGCAATAAAAGGCTTTAATTTATATTGCGAGGCTTTATTTATGATGTGAAATTCTAATCATCATTCAGTATACCCCTTCTTACAAGACATTTTGAATAGAAACAATACAAAATAAAATCCCATTCATGACCTAGAAATGCGCAAATGTGTTTCTCTTTGTGTCTGCAGTGTTGATGCATTTTTCCTTTCTGAAACTAGCCGTTTGTGAGATGATGTTTTTTTCACAGACTAACTGGGGATCCATTGTATAGGACTCGTCCCCGAGGGCAGGACACACACAGTCATGCGTCATAACGGCCCGCACTCCAACTGTGGCCGCAGACAATGATATCATTTCCTCATTTCCTGGTTGGGGGAGGTCAGTGTTGGAGGGCGGGGTTCTGCATGATCTTGGAGCACCGACTCTCAAGGATGCAGTATCTGAGGCTTCTCCACCCAATTATTCTATCCCTTTTCCTTTGAATCTGCACTGAGTCATCAGGTGTTTCTTGTGAATCCATTGTTTGAGATAAGTCCAATCACACTTAATTCCTTCAAAGCTCATTCATACAATGATTTATTCGTAGGGACAGCCGAGCCTTCAGATAAAACACTGTGTTCAGATGAAGGGATGTGTGATGGGATTAAAACAGAACTGGGCAGCAACCTGGTGCGTTTGAGTCCCGTCGCTTAAACTAGACGCGCCTGAGAGGAGGCGGGGCTTATTTCCATGAGGATACAAACAACGGGTCATCTATTCGGGTCAATCGCTTCTTTGGTGCCGCGGCATTTGTGCCATTGGGGTCTTGCGCTTTAACTTGATATGTTATCGCGATATGTGATGTCACTTCTCATCCTGATTGAACGCACTATAAGAACAGTAGAGTTTTTGGACGATTTAATCACCAGAATAAGTGCCTTGAGACACTCCCTCAATACAATTGTGTCTTGCAACATAATAGACATTATCTTCTGTCAACAAAACCAATTTAAATACCAAATCCTGACCTCCCATTTTCTCATACAAGAGACAGTAGGAACATTTTCTAAACATTTTTTAAAGGCTTACAACTAGATGTTTATTTTTTTAATTAATGTTATAAAACAGCTGGGCACTGCGGTTATTAATTCAACAGTAGTAAATAGTAAATTTGTCGACTACTTTCGGGAGAGAATATTACACAATTGCCCACAACATTTGGTATCACTGCTCTATAGCCAGGAGTGGTCATTAGCTTTGAGTCATACTGGCACATAGAAACACATCTGTAACTAATGTGTTTGTGGTCACTGTGTTTGAGGGAATAGCACTAGAGAGCTCCTGCCTCATGTGACCACTGTTTAACCCAACACACTCCTGTGAGACAAACTGCCTTGGGGTAATATGACAGGGCTTCCAACTCTAATTAATTACATTATTCTTCAATTTGTTCGGGCACTAAAAGTCTGTATCACTTGACTATGCTCTCGGCAAGTCTGCAAGTCTGCAAAGCACGAAGAGCGAGCAAGGCCAGTGAAGAGCTCCCAGACAGACTGTGTGGTTCACTTCTGTCAGCTCAATGCCCTGCTTTGTGCTGACTGCTCTCTCCCGCTCACACTCAGACAATTAGACTGAATGAAATGCAGGATGGGAGGACTCGGAGACAGGGTCACACAAACAGATGCAGATATCAGTGACGATGTGCAGCATCCAGAACAGTTCTCAGACACGGGTAGCTTCATGCACACTCTCATCCGTCACTGGTATTACACTACCCTCTATTACTCATCTCTATGTGTCTCTCTCCTGTAGATGAGTGTGAGAGTGCACCCACCCACCACTAGCTCCCATTGATAACATTTGTGACGACTAAAGGGCCTGCTCCGCCTCCCGCTAGCGGCTAGTGCCATCAAAGCCATATTTAGCCTAGCAACAGCGATGACTCACTTCCTGCCTCACTACAAAGCCACTTCCTTGGCTTGTTCCCAGATGGTTAGCCAGGCGATGCTCTCATTGGCTCCTTGTGCATTCCCTGGCTAAATAATTCAGCCTTTAATTTGCTGGGAAAAACTGCTTGCACCTGAACAACTGTGTCAGCTATCTATCACAACAATCACCATGCTACATTGTGTAAGACCGGATTGAAATGTGTGCAGTAATACATCAATCTTGAATATGCTAGTTTCAACTCTTGTAGCTTATATTAGCATGTGAGTCTGTGCTGTATGTTACAAATGCATATCACTCTGGAAGTCACTAATGCATTCATCTATATGATAAATGGTAAAGAACTGAATAAATTATCCATACTTTTGTGAAAACAGTTCACGGATCTGATAAATGAATGTGTGCTGTGGCCTTAGTCTGATTTTTGTCGGGAAACGGCTACGAAATAAACTCTCCCTTAGTGAATCCTGTGGATCTGCCGACTACACACCAGTCCTGGCTCATTACCCAGAACCAATGCGTTTTCAACCAAAGTCTGCCTATTATCATCTGTTTATGTTAATGTAGCAGCTTGAGTCATTTTGCCTGAAGCCTCAGAACCAGTATAACTATTCTGTCCACACCAGCATCCACTATACTTTCGAGTGCATATTTTGAAGAGGTAAAAGTCCAACTGCTGGTTGCCTATAGCTGCCTACGCTGTTAGGACATGTGGCCTTGTGTTTGAACAGTATTTAACAAAGGGTTAAAGGGTCAAAGCAAAAGCCCACTGTGTGAGCAAGCCACATGCCAACAGTTACATAAGACTACCTGTTCACATGCTGGCAGCTCCAGTAGCAGCCCCTGCCTCACAGCTGCACTCAGCATGACCCCCCCCCCCCCCCCTTCATCAACTACACCTCCACACACCTGACCTCATCTTATCTCTGCCTCACCCTCTGCTATTTTACAAATCTGTCATCTATCCATTAAGCTGTCTGCAACCTTCCATCCTTTCACTAACCTCCCTTTCTAGGGGACATAACCTTTTGCCTACTTCTCCAGCCCCCCCCCACCCCCCCTCTCTTTTCTAAGTCGATCTCAATGGGTGGTAAATCCCCATACCAACAACACGGTGCCAGTCTCCATAATTAGCCTGGAGTGATATGGTAAGAGGAGAAGGGTGAAGAAATGGATACATGAAAGCGGGACACACAGAAGGGGGTACGGGCGGTTTAAAAGGTGAATGTATAAAAAGATCGAAAAACATAAGCTGGGCAATTCAAAAAAACGGAATCATGTGATTGCAGAAGTCAGATCGGGAAGGTGTACGGTCATTCTCCGCTGTCAGTGTGTCAGTCTACCAAGAAGTAGCTGCAATTCCCAGAGGTCAGTGAGCACATGGCACGAGGAGAGGGGTGGGGAACTGGGCGGAGCTTACAGAAGGGAGGGGAGGGTTTGGGTGAGGCTATAATTAGCTAACACCCTCTGGTCTGGCAAATAGGTGCTCAGGAACCATCCCTCAAACGTCCTTCCTCCCAACCACCCTCATCGTCACCTTCCCTCTATAATCTCCCGCTGCTTTCCTTGGCCCCGGTAGGTGAGCAGCATGGGAGCATTCCTAACTGCCGAGTCATGGGTATAGTCCCAACAGTGTGTCTGCCAGGTTGGTGTCTATTTAAAACATGATTCTCTGCTAGTTGAATGACAGTCCAGCCTTGTAGTCTCCAGGGTTCCTCCAATGGTCGACAGAATCAGATAGAGAGGGAGACGTGTACTCATTTATTTATTAAGGCCAGGAATAACGCAATTAATGGTGAAGTTGATTGGAAGACAGGGTTTAATAGTAAGCATTGCCCACTTTCCTGGTGTGGTGGAAAAAAGTGGTTAAAGAATGTAAACCCATTGTTTTTTTCAGGGGAGAATGATGCGAGTTGCTAAGGGGTAAGCCATGTCACTTCCATCTCATTTCTGCTGAGAGTTGCACATGCACAGTACTGATTGGGCACTTGAGTGTGGCGTCGGATAAAATGGCGTCAGGTAATAACAAAGTACATGTGTCCAAGTTAGCATTTCAACTTTCCTGGAATCAGGAGTTTAAATTGGTGGTTTAAGAGGATGTGGGTCGACTCCAGATTCATTCAAGTGAATAAAGCTTTAAAAAGACAATTTAACATTAGTCTTTGTTGAACATGAACAAGGCAACAAAGGCATGTTATAAACAAAAAGAGGCAGAAAAGTCACAGGTAAGTGAAAGACTATGGCTGAATACTAATGGCTCAATTTGACTTGTCTAATTGAAGTGCTCAATAATTTAAACATTTAAAAGCAAAGCAAACTTAAGTGCTGTGATAAAAAGTGAGTACTTAAAAAGAGATATTCCATTTGTTGAAACTCAAACTCGAGTCCTGTGTGTTATTAAAAACAATTAATTATGCAGCCCAGAGACAAACCTCAGACACACTGTCCACTGACCTTGTCTCCACTGGAGTAGAAGAAGTAGCGCAGGCGGACTATGTTGCAGTGGTCCAACTTCCTCATGATCTGCAGCTCCCGATTCTGCACCAAACAATCACATGAAAGACACATTTACATTTTAGTTTCAAATGATATCCAAGTGTTACGCTCATGGTCCATGAAGTGAGTCTGTGGACCTTTTGGAGACCTCAAATCTACTTATTGGACCCACAGAAAAATGAGGGACAATTTGCTTAACCTGTTCCACTCTGAGCCTGTTTTTCAGGTCTCAGGCTCGAAAATGACATTCCCAGAACAAATGACCATATCTTCCCTTCTAAAAGGGTTAAATTAATAATCTTTGTTCTCAACGTAATGATAAACCTGTGAGTTGGATGTAGAAGTGTCAGAATCAATATAAATGTTTTTTATTTTAAAGAAAATTCAGATTTTACATAGTAAAAAACTGTAAATTATAGTGTCCGTCCAAAAATTATTTTTTACAGATAGTGAAAACTACCCTTGGATGATGGGTTAGTAGACTAAAAGCTTTAGGAATCCAAAGTACAACATATAATAAGTACCCTGTATCAAGATTGATGCAAAACAAGTGAAATTTGACCTTTTTAGAGAGATTTAGCCAAAAACCCCCACTTTTGGGGTCATTTGGGTGGATTTGACCTATCTCTGGCTTCCCTTGGTCGATTTGGTTGGTTGACATACCCTTGTGACCGTTAGAGCCAATAGAATCGAAGGGGGAGGCCCACTCACACACACGTTGTAAAGAAAAAATGTGGGCGCTTCGCGTGTGGAAAACGAAACCAAAGTGGAGGAATGTCTCCTTCTGGAGTTTGGAAACTAAAACGCAGTTGTATTGCTTATGGATTATCAGAAATAATTTCAAAGAAGGCACAGACACATAGGATGAACTTATGGATTAACTGCAGCATCGTTTTTTTATCGTTTTAATGCCATTGAAGACCACTTTTGACCAAGGTAAGCCATATTTACGTTTGTTAGCTACTTAGCTCCACATGTGATGATGTACGCTTTCGTTTATAGCGTTGCGAATGTTTATCACTGAGTGTTGAGGTTTTTTACACAGATTCAGTGTCTCCAGGACACCAAAAACGAGTGGTTGGCTGTGCATCTAGGATAAGTAATAAGGGAGTTATGAGTGAGTTTAAGTGCCTTTGTAGGTTCCGTTTTTTCGATCGAGGCTAATTCAGAGGCTGAGTGCTAGCATTGTGGGGTTTTTTTGAAAAAAAAAATTAAAAAGATCAGTTAGCTGAGTTTCTTCCCGTTACATGGATATAACACATTCATAGTTTTATTCAATATTAAGATTCCTTAGACGTTGCTTCCTGCAAATGACGCGTTTATCCGCCCGGTACCGGGGGGATGGTGTGAAACAGGTTAAAGTGGTATTTAGATTAATACCATTTTTTTTGTCAATTTATTGAAAATGTCAGAAACAAAACATACAACAATAATAATAATATATATTTTTTTTCTTATAATAATAATAATTATAACAAAGAGAAGAAGAAAAAACATTCAAGGTACACATTTTTTTTTAAATAAAATAAATTCTCAAATAGTCTCTCATGTTCAACAGGGGCAAGAAGAAGCTTAAAAAAACCTTTCTGGTCCTACCCCCTCTAGCGTACATTTTCCTTGAAAGCGTCGTGTTGGTCATGTTGTAAAAAATATATATTTTACAAGAAATGTTGTTACATGTGACATATTGAATGGTTCAACAGTAATAGCTGCATTATGGCTATAGAGAATAGTGCTGTCATGGTGTAATATCATCATATATTGACAGAAAACACATGCCACTAAACATCTTGTGAAACAATCATCTCATTGTAGACCATGTCACTGTCACAAGCTCCATGTGCCACTTTGTCAGGAAAATTGGATATGGCATCAGCAACAAAAAAAGCTGGAGAAAAATGGTCATTAATTCCTTCATGATAGGATAAATCCCACGGGCTTGAACATGATGAACAAGAAATAAGCCCCTGGAAAAACAAAAGAGTCCACAACACAGACAAGCAGCAGGAACACTTCAGTGAAAATGGGAGAAAAAATAAATACGTGTTGAGTAAAAATGGCCTTGGGGCTTGTGGTGTGACTTTCTCACAGGGACAAGATATAAGCATCAAACCCTGGTACAGTGATCCATGTCTTCATATACAGAACAGTGTGTCCATGCAGAAAAAAGTTGTGCATATGGACCCAAACATATCAAGGGAGGGCAGGAATTAAAGCATTATATAAAGCTTTAACAGCTTCATCATATATTTCCCCCTCTTCTCCATTTCTTCTCCTCTTCTCCCCCCCCCCCCCCCCCCCCGCTCTTTATCACAGTGCTTTTGCTCGAAGTGCTTGTGAAACATTTGGAGTGTGGGCTGAGCGGAAAGGACACGGGAAATTGTCAGACTCGAGAAAACTAAAAGGGGAATTTTTTGAAAGGGGAAGGGCCGAAGTTTACATCACACCGTGACGGAGGAGTGAGGACTACACTATAGTCTGGCTTTTGTTTTGGAAGTCATGAGCAACTATAATAGTAGAATGGTGGCTTCTGTACTATTGATTATTGTACAATAAAAGCAGGAAGCACCCATACTGACTGCAATGGCTTGCATACTAATTCTCTGAACGACTTTATTACAGAAAGGATATCAGGAAGTAGTCTTAACGTAAAACCATCGCGTTTGTAGTTCAAGAAATCGGTATTTTGGATTATCCATTTCTAAACATCAAGGTGTTTATGTGAAGAAACTCAATGAACTGCTGAATATAAATAATGTAAATACCCAGAATATAATCAGTTTACAATCATTTCAAAACTTCAGTTGTTTACTTAAACCAACAAGAGTGACAAACCAGTAGTCCAGCTCACTGACTGACACATGATTGTTCAGTTGACTTATAAACGGGTACATAACTGGTACGCAGGTACGCATGCGCGGCAAAAATCTGAAATGCATATCGTCACTTGTGTCACTAAGCGCCTTTGCGTACCGACGTACTTGTGAAGCTTTTCCAGAAGGCGCTTAGATCACTGGCCGTGCACAGACGGGGGTGCTGTTAACGTCGGTCTGTACAATGGAATTGTGCCAAAATAACGCCAACCGGCTGCGGAGGGAGACTTCCCGGCGCACACACTGGAGAACTGCGCCAAACCAACTGATCACAACGTTCACGGAACGCTCAGATATGAGCTGCTCGTTGGGAACACAACTTTTAGATTTGGGTTAAAAAAATATAAATGGTAAAGTTAATTAGTTTTACAGTTATGTGGTGCAGCACGTAACAGTCATTTATGACTTAATTTAAAAAGGTGCATTTATTGTCAACCATTTCGAAAAACTTTCATTTTTCAAGCAAAGAAGCCATTTCCTAGTTTCAGCACCTAAATTGAGGCACCTTTGCTTGTTATTTTTAAACAGAATATATTCGGGAAAATCAAAACAAAACGCCTTGGAATTTGGTACTTTCTTTACTGCAACCTGCAATTTTTTAGATACAACAACTACTGTATATCGACAAGATTACTGCCAGGATAATAAATAATAAAGTTATCGATAGTTGGAGCCCTGAAATAATGAAATGTCATAAAATAAAGAAAATGTCCTTCACAAGTTAGCAGAGTCCAAGGTGAAATCTTAACATTGTTTGTCTAAAACCCAAAAGATACTCAGGTTAATATCATAGAAGATTAAGAAAAGTACGTACGTTTTGTGTATTTTGCAATTAAATAATTATAAATATACCACCACATTTATTTGCCTTGAATTTGGTAAATGTCTCCGCGCTACAGCATTGAGACATAGCGTACTTTGAAAAGAAGCCATCATCATCATCATCATCTCAGCAGCAGCAGCATCTTGCAGCCCAATGGCCTTGTACAGACAATCATCCCAACCTAATTCACTTAGAGGCAGACACAAATGGTCCAATAGTCCTTCCCATGCTTTCACCCTTTACACAACTACAACCAACACACACACACACACTCATTATAAAGTGACATCATGGCGTGTGGGGCACAGACCAGCCATCAAACGCACCGTGCACAGCAGGCAACGCCCTCGTCTTCTTGCAGTGGCTTAGTGGGAATGTTTAAGGGTGTGTGTGTGTGTGTGTGTGTGTGTGTGTGTGTGAGAAAGATGGTACGATATGGAGGAGGAGCAGACAGGCTGTTCAGTAAAGCCCTGCCCAGCTCCAGTTATACTGCAGTCATTCCTGCTGACCTGTCATACTCCAGAGAGAGAGAGAGAGAGAGAGAGAGAGAGAGAGAGAGAACTCTTGATGGTTGCTAGAAGTGCTACACTTTCATGATGCTAGTGTGTAAGCTACTGTCAGGCAAAACCACATCCAGTTTGCAAAAAAACTAAGATTAAGAGCATAGAGGAATTGCATACCACCCACAAAAGGAAACACACACACACACACACTTGACGGTGCTGCTTTGTAAACAGCTTACTAGACAGTGGCAAGCTAAGGGATAAAACTGTGTTCTTGTCACTAAATCCCAGAAAATCGCCAAACAAACACAACATACATGAGGCTTGGTAATAGAGTGACTGCAGAGATATATGTGGTGAACTAATGGATCTGGTGAGCTAATGACTAACATGCTAACCTGCAGGGAACATGCATACTTCAGTCAGGATTAGCTACTCTGTATTTCACCTGTACGGCGGCTGCTAAATCACTTCTGCCTTTTTGCTCTCAGGTGCGAACATTATTACATTCAGTAAAGAGTTATTGCAGACAGGACTATCTCTTTTTCTCTTTATTCTCTTCTGAACGTGTGAGCTCAGTCGCTGTCAGGACAAGAAGTTCACACAATTGATTTTAAAGAAGTATTTGTTCCATCAGCTCCTCTCTCATAACAGTCTGTAAACCATGTCGCTGTGGCTGAACAGCTAATACTCCGTCTCTGACAGAGAAGGTTCAAAGAAGCTGAATGCCGACAGGCGGCTTATAAACTAACTATAAGTCAGTCCCGTCAAGCAGCTGCATTGGAATGAAATGATTTTACTTTTTGGAATTTCTGGTGTCACTTATTATAGACTGTATATATTAAACACTTTGACTTACCTACACTTTTTGTGTACATTATAAGACTCTATCATGGATGACAAACATATTTAAAAATCACCAATGCATAGTCAACATTTTATGCCCAAAGCAAGATTTTCTTTAGCCAAAGTTACTCAAACAAATGTAAATAGAGAATTTATTATTACACACATAGATAAATGTTTACTTTGTAGATAAGTAAGTTATTGCTTTTTCCATTGTATCTGTTAATAAAATATAGAAACTCACCAGACTGACCATTTAACAGTATTGCCATCAGGCACACTAACTTGTGTGAGTGTGAGTGTGAGTGTGAGTGTGTGTGTGTTGGTTCTAGTGGAGCATCCATTTTCCATCAGGATGATATATGATCCCTCTGAGTGGAGTCGTCCTATCCCATAATGCACCAGGAGAGGATTGTAAGACCACTAAGGTTGTCTCACACATTCATCATCTATATCCTAACGCAGAGCCTGTTCACATGATTACCCTGTTTGACTTGCGTGTGTGTGTGTGTGTGTGTGTGTGTGTGTGTGTAAGGGAATAAAGCATTCAAACATGTTGGACTAGCATGGTTCTGATCACCATGGCACCAAAGCTTCAGCCAGAGAAAAAAGCAGAAGTGTAGAGAAAATACTTTTGAAGTTGAGACGGAATAAGAAGAAAATAGAGCGCAGGTGTTGGGGTTTGTGTGTGTGTGGGGGGGGGGGGGGGGGGGGGGGGGGGGGGGTTGTACACACACTTATTGGCACATGCTTGGCAGTCATGTGAGGAGTCTTTGCACTCATTTGCTTCATAACAAGCTATTCGAGTACAAGCAGGAAGGAAAGAAAAAAGGAAAAGGAGACTATGATCACAGCTGACCACGGTTTAAAGATGCTACCTGCTAGCGTAGCATGATAACCACAGGCTAATGGAGAGCAGGAGATGACTTCATCATGGCCAGCATAGAGTCACAAAAGGATTGTGTGCCTGTGTTGCTAATGAACATTTTGTATTTTGTGACAGATGGCTGACACCTTCACAATTAAGTTAGTTATCTTAAGTCAGGTTTTGGAAAGTGAAGGACTACCAGCACCCAATAACAAAACTGTTCTGGTGCTCTAGAAAGGCCATACCTGGGACACTGAGCTGCTGAAGTATTTAGCTAAACCAGTTGGCTCAGCAAAACAGTCCTAGGGCTAAAAAGCTTCAAGCAAACACAGCTTTGACTAAACTTCAGAGACTCCCACTGGGGCTAAAGCTGAAGGGTTGGCAGTCCAGGAGGCAACGGGGGACACCAAAACATGTCCTGCCTTTACTCTCCTCATTCTCTCCTGCTAACACAACCTGACTCTCGTGAGAGGAAGAGACTAGACCAACGAGCATGACTCTTTTGTAAGACTAGTGATTTAGGAGACTCGTTTTAACCCTATTAAAATAATCCATTGATAGACTTAAAACAAATGACTTGGGTACAAGTGCCACATATCACAGCAATTGTAACCCTAAAGAAGTGGTTTAATGAGGGAATATATTAGGGATGTCCCGATCACCTTTTTTTGCTCCCGATCCGATTCCGATCATTTGATTTTGACAATCTGCCGATACCGATTGTTCCCGATCCGATCTTTATGCAATGCATTAAAAGAAAAAAAAGGTAACAGATAACGGCTGGTCATCCAACGCGATGAATTCAGCTATCTTGGCTGCTATTTTTTTGGCCTTTTCACTGTTCTGGGGCAGTTTCTCTTTCCTTTTAAAAGTCTCTGAAAGTGTCGGTTGTTTCAGTGCCGTTACCTGAGTGTCCGCTGTGTACTCGTCGTGTTGTTGTTGGTGTTTGTTTCTCAGGTGGCGTATTAGATTGGTCGTGTTGAACGTAGCTCTGTTCTTTCCACCACGCGGAACCTCCGCCTTGCAAACATTGCATCTGGCTGTTACACTGCCTTCGCTTTCAATTTTATAATACTTCCAAACTCCTGACATTTTCTCTGTCACGAGTCACCAGCTGAACATAGCCTCTTGTTAGCTTACTGCTACTATTAGACACTGCGCCCACTCTGTTGCCAGATTTGAGAGAAATAAGCAACCAGGTCCATGAAAACAAGCCCAAAAGAAGCAACACATACATGATGTTGTGTAATTTTAAACCAAAACTAAGGCCTCAGGATGACTTTAAGACGTAAACATGGTCATTTTTGTTTTGTAACATTAAATAAAATAAAAATATTTTATAAAAAAAAATAAAAAAAAAAAAAAAAAATCCCGATCCCCCGATTTTTTTCTCCCGATTCCGATCTTTTGAAAATCACGTGATCGGCTCCGATCCCCGATCACGTGATCGGATCGGGACATCTCTAGAATATATTTCACTGTAGCACTTCTTTTCTTTTTTTACACTTTGAACAAAAGATATATCAAGTTAATTAGTGAGCCTCAGAGGTGCTGGAGGGTGGATTCGTTAGGGTCGGACAGAGCTACATTTTTCCAGTTTTTGTGTGAAGCAATTGGCTGTAGCTTCATATTTAAGTAGAGACATTGTACCAACCCCTTATCTTACTCTTAGCAAGAAAGCCTACTTCCCAAGCTTTTCCTTTAGGTGTCTTACCAACTTCTAATCTCCTCTATTCTATTATAATTACAAGATGTTTAAATGAGCCGAAATCTTGTGTAGAACAGAGACACGGAATGTAGGTTTCCAGCCCACATATGGAAAACATTATAGCCACACATTGTATTGCATCATCCTGACTTGTGTACTCCGGCTGCATATGCCCTGTTCTCTGAAAGCTAGGGAATGTGTGATAGACGCAACAAACTAAAATGTTGCGTGTATAGAAGTGATCAACGTGGCCCTGGGCATAACATACACAAAAAACCTTGCTTTCTTTCTATGGTAGGTTATTCCTTAAAACCTCTGTAGAAAAATGAAGATTGACACACTGTTGCCTCAGGTAAAAGCGTTTGCAACAACAAGGGAATATCTGCTTCCTTAAATCCAACCAAGGTTTTGTGAAATGCATTGAAAATGATATATAATCCATTAAAAATAGGCAGTGTATTATTTGCAGCTGTATACACTATTAGAATGATACCTAAACCTGCAATAATCTTACTGTTATATATAGGTTTATGTTATAGAGCAGTGGATTCAACTGTAAGATTTTCTAGAGACTTCAGGTTATAGTCTTATTGAATTATAATGTACTACAATAGGAGGTATTATCATTTTGATCCTCTACATATTACAACCTCCATGATGGTAGGATTAATAGCAGGTTCGTTGCATTACACTGCATTATTTTAAGCTAGGTGTACCTAATACATGTAGTGTGTATATGTCTTTATAATAGGCATACTTCTGACACTGGCCTCTTTGATAATGTGTTAATTCAGTGAAAGACATAAAATAATAAGACTGTTACAATGTGCAGCCATTACCCACAGCTCTGAAGACTATAAACTTAATGAGAAACTAAACAGCTGTCCTGCAGGCTTTGCAGTCTCGGCTCTTTAACTGTGAGCGGTGGGCTAACAGCGGGAACACTGAGGCCCCCCCAAACCAAAGAGGGCATCAAAGGGAGCACAGACAAAGTCGCCCCAGCCAAGGAACAACAAGCCATCAGTCAAATCTATTCAAAGCACAGACGGAGGATTCCAGCAGGGCTTTGCATGGATGGAAATATGACATTTCCACGATGGACCTGAACTAAACTTGACAGATGACTTAAGTGTTAACGGGTTCAAGTATGCATGTGAGAGATAGGACCCTCCATTCACTACCACACACACACAGTTCCTGCGAGAAAATATACACATAAAGCAAAGATTTTGCAACGACAAAAGCCAAGAAGTTTTTCCTCCGTCTCTTTGTTCGCAGCTTCACTGATCTCACCGTTCTTGTGAAAGATCACTCCATTCATGTCTTTTTCACAGTTACTCTGTCATTCATGAATACAACAAATCTGTACTTTGGTTCCATTGAAAAAGAAGGTTGACAAGGAAACAGAAGGATCTGAGTAAGCAGAGTGATACATTGTTTGTGTGCATGTCTTTACCTTAAACCTCTTGTCTTGCAGGACCTTCTTGATGGCCACCATCTCTCCGGAGTCGCAGAGTTTGGCCTGGTAGACTACGCCGAACGAGCCGTTGCCGATGACCTTCGTGTCCGTGTAGCTTACCTCCTGTGGCCGGTCAGGGCCTTGACCTGGAGTGGCCACGACTGTTGTTACCTTGCTGCCATCTTTATCCCCTAAAGAGACACAGAACATTTGAAACCTGAGTGATAGTGATATAGAAAATTCAGCACCATACATCAAGGATTAGTGTTTAGGGGTATGGGAGAGCAAACTGAGAGCAAACATGACAGAACAGGTTTTGAGAAGCATTACTAATATCAAATAGCTTGTTGAGCCAAACCAATAGTCCAAACTCAGTTTTAGTCCAACTAAAAAGGTAACTTTCAGGAGATGTCTCCAAATGTCTTGTTTTGTTAGTCCAAAACTCATCTTTCTCAATTCTCAATCTGAGAAAAGCAGGAAATCTCAATATTTTAGAGGCTGAAAATATTCATTTTCGTATGAAAAGTGACAAACGATTATTAAATTAATTGGTGATTATTTGTTTGACTTATCGTTGCAGCTAGGGTACAAATGACCACCATTAATTAGCCATATTCTGGTCAAATATATAAGTACTAGATTTGTATCAGTCACCAGCCCAAAGAAAAGTGGTAATCTGTTGAGCTACTTTCATTAACCATTAACCATTTGGTTGCTGGACAAAGAAAGTTAATTTGGCACCCCGGTTGCTGTTCTATTTAGAACAATATAAAAACACTCATCCTTTGCTCATCTGTCTCCTAGAGTCAGACAGGATCATCTAAAGACTCCATAGTCTACTTGTTATAGAAGCAAATGTGTTATTGCCTAGTTGCAAGTTTGACTCCTGTTGACAATTTTTCTGGCTGAGAGAAACAGAACAACACAGCCCCCTTCTTTAGCCACACCCAGTTTAACCCCCATGTATTCCTGGAAGAACTGTCTAGTGGTAAACAGCTGAGGATGTACTGGTCAGCTCCGTGCTGACTGACTGAGGGGGATTCATGGCTGAGCTCAAATATTTCGAGGTAAACAATCACACATATTTTAACCCTATCTAACCGGCTACAGACAGAAAAACACTTTTCATTATCTTTATATCAGTAATGATAGGTCTCTTTATCCAAATCAATGCATCAAAGAGATAAGCATACAGCTTTCTGAGACTATCCACACTGATAAGATTCATTACCTTGCATAGACACACCAACGGACCAATGCAATTCCCAGGATTATCATCAGTGAAAAGTCATAAGCTAATAAGACTATCAGATGCTAATGCACTATTACATGCTCCTCCTCTGTATGCCTTCCTCTCAGCAGCTGGCTCTGAACCCCTGAGAAGACGATGGAGGCTTTTTCCCTCTGTCCTCCCTTCTTCCAACGGAAGTGTCAAGGAGCAACATTCATATCAGCTGACAGTTTAAGAACAACCAGGCAAGAGTGTGTGTCACATGCCACAGATGTGTGCCTGCAACTTCAACTTCTGACAGTCTATTAAATTAACCGCAAAACTTCTGCACAACCAAACGATTAAATCCGACTGCAACACCTGCCCCCCCCCCCCCCCTCTAAATCTACGTATTAGTCTTATTAGCATATTCCCCTTTCAAACAAGCTGCAACAGGAGAAGGCTGTGGATGAGCGAAAACACCCACGCATCTAAAATCATTTGTGAAATGTGTCTACATTTAGATTTTGGAGTTGCTGAGGCAGTCAAACACATTTGTCAACAGCTCGCAGTGGGTACCAAATCATGTTGACGTGAGGATTAATGCTGCTTAATAACCGTGACTGTTCCAGATCATGGTGTTGGAAATGGAAACTTTGTGCAGCATGCTGTGGTAGCAGACCACCTCCACGTGGAGGACACTGGCAGGCCACAGAGTCCTGTCCATATCAGGAGGAGGGACCGTCTGATGCTGACTTTTGGCAAACTACCAGTGAGTCTGTGGGAGAGTTTTTAAATGAACAAAGTGATTTGGATAATTAACCCTGAAGTGCTTATTATAACACTAGAAAGTCGACGTTTTGACTGAGTCAGTAGCACAGAGAGCACAGGTTTTACTGGCCTTATCCATTTTCTATTGGCTCGCTAGGCTTATTTTCCATCAGGGTTATTGATTTTGACTGCGTAGACACACATCCTCTCACACAAGCAAAAAAAAGAAGACTACCACTCCAATGCAGACATAACATATGTGTGTCCGAGCACAGTTTCTTTGTCATCGTGTGACCAGTCAGTGGTCCAATTCCTTAAGATGTGATAATGATCAAAGAATTTGGATAGAGAGAAGGAGGGGAGCCAAGTTGTCTGAGAAACCAACAGGCCTCCACTCTCCAGGACAGAGTCTAGAAAGAGAAACTAAAGAAAGATTTTGTAATGAGAGAAATAGACTTTCCAAGAGAGTGTGTGAGCGTGTGAGAGAGATAGAGAGGGAGTGAAAGAGAGACGAGTATGACTGCCTACATATTCCTTCAGGGCCATTTCTATGACGCCTCTGCACTTCCTCAAACCGTGAGAAATGTCTGTGCACCCCAGCTCACAGTCAGATCTCACACTGGTGCAAAAAAAATAATGACCGAGCAATTAGTTTGCAGTTCAAATGTTTTGCATTTCAAATTAATAATTTACATTCTTTACACATTAATATGGCAGAGCTATAACGATTTGTCTTCACACAGATATCCCCCCATTTTATACACAACCAATGAAGACATGTTTTTATTTGTTTTAAGCTGGGAGCGCCTTTTCATTAACATTCATAATCCCCAATTGAGCTATTTGCTAAATTAAGTGTTATAAATGAAAAGTACAAGTCCCTTGCAACATGTGCTTGCAGCGTTGACTTATTTGCTTTTTCAATCAGCTTGCCATGAGAAAATTATCGAATCAAAGCACAGGATTTCAATCACATTATGCTCTACTATTCAGCTACAAAGTGACAGCTGCTGAAACTTTTAGCCAGGCGTCGATAGTGTATTCAGGTCACAACACGTGTACTCAATATAGCCAGAAAACACTGTTTAGCAGTTGCAGGACACATGTTGGGTTGGTTTGATTTAAAGTTACCAGTTTTGTGACTGAAAAATTAAAAAAGGGACATGTTTCTACAGAAGCTGTCGCAACGCCCCAACTAACTATATCATATTCACCTGTCAAATTAATTCCAAAATGATGCATTAAATCTAATGGCGCATTTCCACTGCAGGGCCTCGCACGGCTTAGTACGGTATAGTTAGGCCTTGATAGGCCAGGCTCACTTTATGCTGCGTTTCCATTACAGTTTAGTAGCTGGGGCAGTAACTATAGTAACGCAGTGTAGGCGGAGCCGTGACGTCATCTTCAATGCGAACCACAGAAAACCAACATCAGCCGTTAGCTGTTAGCACTCAGAGCTCACAGCTCCTCATATCTGTTCAGAAACTAGACAAAAGTTAAACAAGTACAAACCACAGACTGCCTGTCTCATGGCGAATACAGTCGCTGCTTTATTTATGTCTGTATAGGCCGTTGTTGTGAGTGTGGACGGTCGGAGCATATACAACCATTAGCTTAGCCGATCTCCATTCAGAAAACACGCATTTTAAAAGGTTTTCGCCTGCCATCTTGTCTGCAGACTTGTCAAAGCATTAATTCATGGTTTTTACTAACCGGTATCAGTATGTTGTTACTCCGGCATCATTTTGAAACGTGTATTACAATTAAATCACGGTCAAATATGTTCATTTTGTTGGAGTTGTAGCCCCCTTGCCAGCGATTCTCTCTCTAGTTTAGCATATTCAGCCCGGTTGTTGGCCCGGAAAGAACCTGGATTTTGGAGGGCCAGAAAAACAGTACCCGTTAGCCGGAACTACCCCTAGGGGAAACGCAACAAAAAAAAGGCCGGGTTTGGCACGGCACGCTTAAACCGTGCTACGCGCTGCAGTGGAAATGCGCCATAAGTAAGTAAAGAGGACCAACCATTTATGTTGAACTTATCAACACAATTACTAATTAATAAGCTATAAGTTGGTGCGTTTTCCTGATAGAACTGATATACTACCCAATGCACATCTTTTTTAGACATGTAAAGATTTTACACTCATTATTTCTCCCACAAATTCAAAAGTTGATGGAAATGACGTCTGCACATAATTTCACAAGCTCAAGGTTTTTTTTATCCCTTATTTGAGCCTATAAATATTTCGTGACTAAAAGTAGAGATGTACATGTTGTGCCCATTTTTTCAAGAACTATGCCCAAACAATCCAACATTATTTAATAGCTGACTAGAGATTGACTCCAAAAAAAAGGGTATTTTTTATACTGAGACAGTTTGCAACAATTCAGCTCATTTACTCTATCAATCTGAACACAACTTTTAATATACTGCAAGATGAGGGATAACATTCACACATTTCATGTTAAATGAATCCACTACGAGTGAATGTCACAAATGCCTGCCAAATGAGTCATTTCACTATGGAATTTGTCCAACTCGTCCAGTTATATTTAAAGCATGTAGTAACTGTTTGGCTTTTGAGTCATAATATCAAACACACTGTTACTTCAAACACTTAGGCTGATTGCAGCACATACTTACTTGAGTTAAGACTGTGTTAGTATGCTAGTCAGCCTAATAGCTCTCAGATCACAAAATGTGCAGAATGTACGTGACATTTGTGAGGAATGCCTGGGGGGGAAAAAAATGCTAAATTAAAACAAAAAACGAAAAAAGGAGCACATTGTGTTATTCTATGCAGATACTCCTGCAAAGGGTCTCTCCACTTTGACAAGGCTGATGGGATAGGTCCCTAAATTACTGAAACATCCGGTCCAGTGAGTGTCACCACTCACACAGGGACATTTGGACAAGCAATGTGTGGATTAACAAATGATGGATTCAGTGGGATCTGACCAGAAAAGATGGGGCTGCATATATTTTTAGATATTGGTGGTATGCAGCCTGCAGTGCCAGTCCAGCAACCGCACTGACAAGAGCGACCGGACGCCGATTCTACTGGTTCTTCTTATCTGCAATTCTTTTCTTTACCGTTTGGAATCAAAACGTATAATTAGTTCATTTTGTTCCCATCATCACTTGCAATATGTGCGAGAGGGACAGAGAGGAAAGGGGAGGGAAAGAGAGAAAGAGAGTGCCGCAGCTTTGAAATGCTAAACAGGCCGCTCATTGTTCTTGGCCAGCTGCCTCACCCCAAAAACAAAACCACTCGTGTGTGTGTGTGTGTGTGTATGTTCTTGTCTGCTTAAGTAGGAGGGGTAAGAGTGTTCTCTCCAGGATTATACACTATGACTACAGCTGCTTTAGATAAGAGGCCGTGTGTGTGTGTGTGTGTGTGTGTGTGTGTGTGTGTGTGTGTGTGTGTGTGTGTGTGTGTAATGGGCAATGAAGACATACTGGGAGAGAGGAAGGGAAAAAATAGGTCTAACAAAGTTACCTGATGTTTTATTAATTCAGACTAAAATACAATCATGACACAGCAAAATTGCAAATATCATGTTTCTTTCAATGTCATATCTGATTTTATATTTTTTAAATCACATTAAAGACCATGTAGTCACAATCAAACTGCAAATGTCACTAAATGTCTTTAGGAGTATGTGAGAGGCGTTGCTTATATGTTCACTTTTATCTCAGGAAAAGTGTGCCAGTCAGCATATCATCAAGTCAATGTCTGAAACCTTTTTCTCAGCTGGAAACAAGATTGAAGGAGAAGTCTAACTGCTTCAACAAGTTCCTTTAACCAAACTGTTCCCTTGATAACATGTTACCCTTCCACTTCATTTCAAGGATGTGTTAAATCAATTGAATAGTGACTTTCAATCCGATGAAAGTTGCTCACCAATTCGCTGGTATCCTTGTTTTAGGACTCAGAGTGCCCATTTAAAAAACGTTTTTGGCTCAAGTGGGTAAAGTCTTATATGGCACAAACAAGTTAACCAGAGCATTTCTCCAATTGCTCAAATGTGAAGAGCAAATGAAGACGCATCGGAAAAAAAGCGAATTGTAGTCAGCCCATGGTATTAATGTTTCAATCGCAATCAATCATTGTGATTCCAAAAAATGTAAAAGCCACTGTTGAACGCAACTAAACTTGTCCTTTGAGATAACCAATTAAAATACTGTTTGAGAACAAACTGCTGCTTTATGTATTTATTGATTATCGCAGGGGCCTTTGCAATCAGACACTTTCCTCTATGGGGCTGAACAACACCAGCTAGTAAAAATTAAATTATTTAACACACAATTAATGAGGCCACCCTGCTTCAGCCCCTGATGACTGATGATTATGTGTCGACTTGTATCTCTTGGAAAGAAGAGGTTAAGAAAACCACAGCAAAACCCTAGTGTAAAGCTCATGTAATGTTAAGTCCACAAAGTCAGCCTCGCATTTGGTGCTACTTCAGTGGCTTATGTCTGACCGGCAATTAGGCCAAAGATTCAGAGTTCAGAGAGTACTTGGACTACATTTAGCTGATTTACAGACTAGCACTTCTTAAAACAGCGTTCTCCTTTTCGCATAACCATGAACATTACACACTGACAGGAACACACCAATGCTTCATCACACATATCTGGGGCAAGACAAGTATACGGATTTTGGGATGGCTAAGCATCTCCCTGTGTGTGTGTGTGTGTGTGTGTGTGTGTGTGTGCACTGAGTGGTTTCTAGTGCCAATGCCCAGGTGAGAGCCTCAGCATCAAGCCTCGCCCCACTAACACACATCATGGTCACATCATAGCCCTGAAGCACCACCTTCATTCCTCAACTGCCTCATGTTTTCTCCTCACACACACCCAAATGTGTGCCGGTGCCCACATGTAAAATAAGAAAGGGCAGGTACAGTAGATGTCTCCAGGCAGGACAGTCATTATTAATTATCATCTTTAATTGGTTTTAAACTGCCTGAACACTAGATTATACTCATATGGTCGTCACACAAGTTTAACCACCATTTAATTGATATAATTTAAAAATAATCTCCAATATAATTAGTCTAGATACAGTCCAGCTTTAATAGGGAGGGACCATTGAATACTCAACTTTTCTGCACTAAGATTTATCTATAAATGGAAAAAGAGTCTACCTTGTAAAGAGGAAATAAGACATATAACCTGCAGTGGAAAATAGAGTGAGTTTGACATGTCTTGAAATAGTAGAAGTGATCATATAAAGCAGACATTAAAAAGATATGGACCAACTCCATCTCTAGAGCCAGCCTATAACCAGCCTCCGGCACGGTGCCACTGTGCTCTCATGAACATGATACTGGGTGTCACACTCCCACGAGACGTCCAATTTCGACACGGCCCACCGACTATGGGACCAGTGATCCAGCCCTCTCCGTCAGTGTGGGCGCACCTTCCGCTTTGACAGTTGCGTAATAGGCCGGCCCTATCGCTTTAACTCAATTACGCATACGGTTGGTGCTATGTAGTAATACCGCTGTGAGATCTAATCTCAAACGGACAGTAATCAGATCGGATCTGCGGTACAATGAGGAAAGCTTTGATTTTTGACCTGGGTCGGTGCCAGCCCTGCTTCCCTGAGCCCGGCCCGGCGCGGCCTGCTAACCCGGGTCAGGCTGACCGGCCCCGGGGCGGCGCGTCACAGCGGTGTGCGTGTGCCACTGAGCCCCGGCCAATCTCAGCCAATGACACAGATATATGACAGGCCTAAGCTACCCAGAGCTAACGTCATGCTCGCTTGACACATTTTTAAGCCTGGTTAGTGGGGAGACATGTAGCGAGGATGTGTAACCCACACTGGGCCTGGTGCATGCAGGAGAAGAAAGCTGCACTTTACAGGGCTGTACTTACTGCTGACTTTCATGCTGCCGAAAGCCGAGGGCTGCGGCACTGGTTTGCAGCTCTCCGCGAAGGATGTGGTCCTAGGCCGACCCGACATGATCCAATCCCTCTGGTTCTCTCTCTGCTCGGAGACTGTGACTGGCTATACGGCAGGGCTGATTGATTTGCCGGACCTTCTCATCCAAAAAGGATGACAGTAAATGAAATTCACAGGGAAGATAGGCAGAAAGCGACCCCTTTATCCTTCACTGTAGTCCGTTTCTCCCAATAAACTACCCTTTCTTGCCCACCTACGGTCTATCAGAGCAGCATTTCTTCCTTATATTCCAGGTTTTTCTCTCAGCGGGCCTCTGAAGAAACGTCTCCGACTAAAATAGTCATGAATCTGGCCTCTCCCTGTGGCCCCCCGATTAAAACCAATAGCGATTTCTTTCTGGGTGCAAAATCACTTTCACAAAGAGGAGGAAGGGTGAGATCAGTTGTTAGGATAGCTGATCCTGTGAGGATCAAAGGGTATGCGGCGTTTTCTTGACTATTCGGGACACATGCAGTTCCTATTCATATCCCGATGTGGAGGCTCAATGATCCGACTGCCATGGCGGCTCCCTCGCTAGACCGTCCAACGGAAAATCTGCCAGTTGCCACAGTCTCTCTCTACGAAATCAAAGGCTCAGTGCCTATTTAAAATCCGCCCTCGTTGTCGTCAAATTTCGGTGTCTTCACCGAGGCTCCGGGGCAGCTACCTCTTCAGAAAATGATGGTCCTTAGGTACAGAGTGCGACGATACTGAATTTCTTTTTTTATTCCTTCCCCATAGGTTTCGGCTCGCTGTCTTTATCGTTGCGCACGTTTGCTACGCCATTTCCGTAAAAGGTTACAGGGCTTGCTCCGCTGTCACAGAAGGAGGTTCACGCTGTTGACGTAAACTGCGACGGAGAATAGAGCAACTGTGAACGCGCAAACGGCGAATCTGGGGTGGCCGAATTAGCCAATCAGAGAGAGTATCCTTCAGGAATGGGCGTTTCCCGTGTTACTGTGGTCCAATAAGAACCCTGCTCTTGAGCACCACATGGCATAATTTGCTTGGCAACGCCCCCATGACTTCAAAGGATTTTTCCCGTGCCGCGACAGGGACAATGGGCGGATCTGCTCCAAGGATTGATTACTTTTTCGGCCAATGGAGCTCCAAAACCAGCCTGTCAAATGGACCCAGCTGTCACAGTGCACCTGTGGTCATGCAGCACTGTTGCTATGTTAGTCACAGAGGCACGTTCACTATCTCTCTTTCACTTTTTCATTCACGCAGCCCTCTGGCACTTCCATTTAATTAGTGCCATAATGCTTAGTAATTTTAATAATGCTTGTGTTAATATGTGCATGGCTGCCTTGTCACAACAGCCCTTTATCCAGGTTAATAATTTCACCTTACATTTAATCGTTCATGCAGTAGGGTAGACTACTGCTTTCTAGTACAGTGCACTTTAATAAGGGTTTATAAGCTGAAACTAATTGATAAATGGTATATAAATCATTAACCGCAACACTCCCTTCACTCATCAACGTGACAACCTCAATTATTTGCACCAAAACTCTGATATAGGGCCTATATATTGCAGTGATGTTACATATACAAAACTGTATATTTTCTTTTGTACATTTGTATTGTTTCTTAGTTGTGTTTGTTTCATTTGATCTGCGTAGGCTGGATTGGGCTAAAGCAGAATCTCTAATTCCTATATTGTGTAATAACAAAGCAGCTGAACCTTGAACTGTTACTCGTGCACATACTGTAGATCAGCTATTAATTAGGAAATTAGTTTAAGTTGCCAGGATATATTTTGGTAACATTGGATAGAGCCAGGTCCAAACTCTTGTTTTGTTTTGTTGACATATTATGTGAAAGGATATTACAGAAGGAACTATTTGTATCATAAATCAGAAAATACTTTCAACAGCCATATAAACATTACTTTTTGCTGTTTTTAGGATTAAAGTATTGGATAAATTAACAAACTCCTCTGTAAAAGAAATATGGGAAGGAAACTTGAAAGTTGTGTGTATGTCAGTGTTACTGTAGTAGAGATGTATGCCTCCGTGTTCAAGAAAAAAACAATTTGGTGAAGTCAGCCTTTAAAATAAGTATTGTATAATCCCATACATTTTGCAGGACACATCAAGTGAATAAGGAATATATAACTAATAGATATCACTACAACACCCATGTGATTACTTACATAAAACATTTTTTTTTTGCAATAGTCGAATAAGTCAAATGGCTTTTTCACAATCTTGCAACCCAAAATAATTCTCATGATTGGCTTTTAATTGAACAACAAAGCATTACTCAATAATTGATCAAACATAATAAAGCTATTAGTTTCAAAACAGTGTAAATGGTGCCTTAAAGGTTCCATGTCATGGCCATTTCTACTGATCATAATTCCATTGTTGAGGTATACTAGAATAGATTTATATTGTGCAATTTTCCAAACTCACATTGGTTTCTCATACAGCATTGTTGGAGCTCCTGCCCCCCACCCCACCCCCCCACCCCCCCCCACCCACCCCCCTCCTCCCTATGAGCCCACTGTGCTCTGATTGGTCGGCTCGCCCACTCTGTTCTGATGAGATCACCACCGTTACAGCTGAACATCAGTGATTATGTGTTACAATGGCGTTAGCAACCAGAAAATGACACCAGTAATGACAAACAGATGAGAATGCTGCGTGGAGTCTGGGTGCCATGTTGGCAGGACGTTGCGCGGCTCGCTGCTGCGAGGAGCGGACAGTGTGAGCTGGGTTCATTTCCTGCTTGCGGCGTGGGGTCTGCGGGACAGCGAGACATCGCGAATGGACGCGGGAAGGAGGGGATGCTGAGGGGGCTGCAGCACCCCCATCTGCGAGGCTCCACTAGCACCTGCACCCCCAGTGCGTCACAGTTTCGCCGCAGAGAGAGTGTGTGTGTGTGAGGAGCTCCGCAGATTGGTATGGGCACGTCACTGTACCCAGGAAGAAAAAGAGAAATCTCCAACGAGGCGTTCTGGGGCAGCAAAGACAAGTCTTTTCTGTGTTGAGTTTTACTCGCTACAGGGTACTTTGAGGGTTTGTGACTTTGCAGACCGTTTACATGCATAAAAACCTTCATAACACACAAGGGGACGGGTAATAACCGGAAAAGCATGACATGGGACCTTTAAGGTCACCCAACCTTCCTCTATAATTAATGTATTTTTTATAAATAATGAGGGATGTATTGTAAAACCATGGACTATCATGTTGTTTTGAGAAAGAGAAGTGATTTTTATTAATAAAATATCTCAATATGTCAGTACTGCTAAACTTGAATTGAATGCAGGTCACTTGGCAAGGAAGTCCTTCCTCCTGCACAGTGATGCTGGTAGTCTGTCTTTTGTGTGGTTTATTTATAGTTTGTTATGCTCTATATCAAAGGGAATTTCTCCTATGCTGCCCTTCAATGGTTTATATGCAGAAAACAAAGCGGTGGCGTCTCAAAAACAGGCTGCAGAGCAGAAGTAACATGAGACGTTGTTTTCCCTTCATACAGCAACACATCCTCTGGCAAACAGTCATTTGCCCATTAGCAGAAGATACAAATAAAGAGAGACAAAAAGGAGATAGTGGAAGGAAGTAAGAGAGAGAGAGAGGCCAAGATTGTGAAGAGATTTTGTGTCTATGCTGCAAGAATATCCTTAAAACTCCCTAACTAACTGACTTACAGCAAACCTGGGGTATTGTGGTTTGCTGGTTTGAAAAGCTCTGGGAAAGTTGTGAGCGTGGAGAATTAATACGGAGTAATTGTTGCCCTGTGGCCCCCTAGCAGGCTTATCCAAGCCTACATAAATCCAGAGCTTTGTGGGATTTTCATGCTGTACTTTTTCTACTCCACTGTATAAAACAGAAAAAGAGGTGGTAGGAAGTTTCTTTTGAAAAGAAACAGGGCTCAGAAATCTAAAGGCAGCAAGGCACTCTTTGTTTCTCACGTACACACAAGTCCAAGACACATACTCCAGATAACTGTGAACTTTGCTCACAAAATACTCTTATTCGGAAAAAATACACTAAGAAAAGTGTGTCAAAGCATAGCAGTGACCTGTCTTTTCCATTTGCTCAGATAGTGTGGGCATGGTGTCTCGTAAACCAGCTACAGATAACACACGTAGAGCGTTTAGAAAATGTACTGTATAAGAACATTAAGCAAGACTCACAAACAACAAAATGTCCACCATACAATTAAACAACACTTTAAGGAATGTGTAAGACAAGGTAATACAATAGAAAGTGGACAGGGAATGTTTCTGTACATCCAGATATCTTATCATAAATATTAAAATAAATACAATATTTGCACAATACTTAACATACTGTAGTGCACATTTCAACTGTGTAAACCATACCTTTGGGTTTTTATGTATTACTCTAAAAGTCCGACTTAGACATTTATGGAGTCTACGACATTTCATCTGAAAGCAGAAATCTAAAAAGAATGCCTTAAGTCATATTAAAAGGTCAACAGCCTTTATTAGGATAACAGCCTCATTATCCTAATAAAATAACTACTCTGTCCCACTAATAAAGAACACAAACACTCTTTTCATAAAGAGATTAAAACATGTAACAGTCAAATGATCTCCCATTATAGATAGCACATTAGCTTTATCCACAATGAACTAGTGCTAGCTTTATCCTTAAAGCTAATTTTGACGTTTCTTCAGAAATAAATTCAAGTGGTGGAAATGGATGGACATGTAAAGTGCGGTTGACCTGTGCTTATACAAATGTGGGTTTGAGGTCTTCTTTGAATACTACAGGGTGTGGGGAGCGGTACAGGCTGGCGTAGCCTTCGTACTCGCTGTCAGAGTCTGAGGAGCTCTCTGAGGACATCAGTGAGCCCCGCTGCAGGCAGGAGTCACAGTACGGACGGTGGTAGTAACAGAAGTCTGTTGAGCTGCTAGAGTCTGAGTCCCAGTACCCACAGGAGTCTCTCATACGTCTGTGGTGCTCATTACCACCACCCGCTTCCACATCAAGTGAGCCATCTGCACCGGGCAAGACTGAACATCTGTCGGACCTTAAAGCACGCCTCCGACGTTTCCTTCTCACCTCATTCCCTTCCGCATCCTCGTCCTCGTCCTCGTCATCTAGATTTAGTTCAGTGTTGTGCACCTGGAGGACGATGCCATCCCCAGTGAGTCCATCAGGGTGCTTTCCTGGATTTTGGTTGTCCCTTTTCTTTCCACAGCCAGTAGCCTCAGGGGCTGGGTAGAAGCAGGGAGGGCTCAACACTCTTCTGGGGGAGTGGAAGGGTGGCCGACGCTTCCTCATAGTGTAGGGGGAGATGCTGGGGTAGCGGAAGAGAACCGGTGGATTAGGGGAGCGTGGTGTCCGCAGGGAGAGAGGGGAAAGTGCGGAAGCTTCCAGACATTTTAGCTGAGAAGGCCTTCTGGACATCTGACCCGGTGATCGAAGTGCAATTTCCATGACTGCATCCACACTCAGCTCCTGGAGAATCTCCTGCAACTGATCGCTGCTAACAAAACCATTCGGTCGAGCATTTGGACCCAGTGGGGATGTTAGGGAACTCTGTCTGTTGAACGTTTTAACCTGTGTTGGGTTTAACCCTCTATGGGATTGTAGCGAAGTGACAAAATCAACCGTCTCTTCTGCTGTCCTGAGTGAGCCCGGGGACAGGAGGGCTGCAGGCGATTTAAGATCTTCCACCCTCTCAGATGTGTCTCTGCCAGTGGTAGAAACGCCTCTCTGGTTCTCACTTTTATAAATATCACCAGGGAGAGGAGAAGAAGCATCAATGGGGGCTGAGGAGCTTGGAGCAGAGGGAGGATCAGAGGACATTGGAACAGCAGCAGCAGCAGTGTGGCGAGAGGAGAGATTTGGTGGCGGGAGTTGGGATGAAGAGTCTTTTCGAGGTAGAGAAGAAGAAGAAGAAGGGTCTTCAGACTGAACCTCCGTGGTCTGAGTGGAGGAGGAGTTGAGGTTGGTGTTGGAAGAGTCCATGTCCTCGGGGGGGGCGGCTGGCTGACATGAGTCGCAGGAGTTTGTCCTTGGCATTGTTCACCTGCTCCTGCAGACTGTCAATCACAGCGTTCTTCTGGAAAATGTAAGAAAAACACAAAACGGGAAATAATCTTTTAGGGGTTTTATGTCAGTTTGACACCACTGTTGGCTTCAATTCAACCAACACAATCATACATAAAGGAATTATGTAGCTTAATCCTGGAAAAATGTATCAGTTGAATGTATTCAGTTGAATAACAAAATGATACTGTACCTCATTAATTTTTTTTTTCATGGAGTTATTTTCTCCCAACACGTAGTACATCTCATCCTGGCTGTACACTGAGGGCAGGCTCTTACTGGGGCTGCTGAAATACTTGGCCATCTGACTTGGGTTGTTCTGGTCCTCTTCAAACTGCCGCCACTGGGTCAGCTGCACAATCATAAAATAGTTACATTACACACATGCACCAGTAGTTCATGTTACCAGAACCATTTGACAGGGGATCTATTGACCAGGTGTATTGCTCACTATTCAAATATGTCCTTCCCTTCAATTGAAGAAGCATTCCTTTATCCTGACATAAAGTTACTGCCAGACACGTAGAGAGTCATAAACTTGTTTGCAACATCCTACGTAGATTTGAATCATTCCCACCTCCTGTGTGAGTCACAGTCCACTGACAGACATGGCAATGGGTACGCAGATAGAGATCAGAGGTGTGTTCACCACATTCACTCGTATATTGTAGAGGGGAGGAAGTCATCCATCTGTCATCCATTTGTCTATCTTGAGTTTCTGCCAGTCTGATTGATGGTTTTTAATGAAGGTTTCCAGACATAGTGCCCTATGATTAGATGACAGTTATTTTGCCTAAAAATAAAATCTCCCTCCCTCATGGTTTCTGTTTTAAAGATACTCCGAATCTGCCGGTGTTATCACCAGAGATAGTAAAGAAAGAACAAATCCTGCAGCTTGCATCTAAAAACGTTTTGTTGTTTTCTTCATGCATCTTGCATTTGTATCACTAGTTGTTTTTTCTTACCTGCGGCACAAACAGCATGCAGTTGGTAGCCATTGTGCAGATAAAAATGGCCCCAGCCACAGTGCTGTAGACCAGGTTGGGCCAGGCCTGTAGGAAGATGGACACAGGAATGGCTACAGCAGAAAAGAGGGTGACCAAAGTGACGGTTGTTATGATGGTGGGAGACTGGTTGACTGGAGGATGGCTGACGTTACTGGTCAGTCCAGCTAGATAAGTCCCATAGAGGAGAAGACAACCCTATGGAAAAAAGTAAAGATAAATTAAAGACACAGAATATATAAATCAATCCATCATACCACCATAACAGTAAAGGAATGAAAAGCTGTGTTATGTTTTAGAATTGCATTTCAATAGAATAGAGATTACAAACCTTCTGAACAGCAATAATGATAACCCACAGATATGAGTATGCAGAGGAGCAGGAGTCCAGCTGAGACAAAGAGTAGGAAATGTCTCTGTCCACAACCTAGATCAAGAAGAAACAGTGTAACCATCAGTGAGTTGAACCCCTAATGAATGTGGCTACTGTATGTCACAAACATGTCTATAAATAAATAAATACTTTAAGATAGTGGATCAAAGAAAAGGACATTTTCATTTTTTTTTTGTCACAAAATTCAACCTTTTTTTTCAATTTTATGAAAATCAAACTATTGTAATTTGTTGTTGTTTTATTGTAACCAACAAGCATCAGATAAAGATTTCTATACAATAAAGTAAGCTGTGTCCTGTCCCTTAAACTGTTTTGTAGTTTAAAAAAAACATTCTTAACTTGTTTAAAAAACTTCCTATTCAGCCCCCCAAAATCACTATTACATTCTACCTTGACCGTAGCTCCTACAGATCGTGAACACTTGATGGGGTCGGTGAGGTTCCAGGTCGTGAGGACCAGCATGTCCACCAGGACCAACAGAGCCACCATGCCCATCAGCTGGATGTCTCTGATAATCTGAGAAGAAAAGTCAAGTCCCATCAATAACATACAGATGTAATCATTTGTATTGCATTCTCATCCATATAACACTACAGTTAGGGAACATTTTGAGTCTCTTTGGGAAGAGTAATGAAACAGTAGAAAAATTGAAAGAACAAGAGAGCTTGTAGCTAGGCCTAGCAATCCTCTAAATACAGTAATCCTCATTAAATCATTCTGTATATGAATCCAGTTTCGCATCAACATAATTGTTCTTCCAAGGAAAGAAAAAGGATTGAAGCAACCATATTGATTTGCAACATTTAGTTGTGCAACAAAAGGTGTTTCATCATACTCAAGAGGTATACAAAATATTTGAAAAAATCCCCCCAAATGTCTTTACTTAAAGAGCAGCATTAGTGAGAATATAATGAAAATGTAGTAAAACATTTGAATAATCTTGCAAACGTTTTTAAAACTTCCTGAATTTACAGCAAATGCTAATGACTTTGGCCATGGCCCACATTTTGGAAAAAACATAATGTGATAAGTTCATTCCATGGTTTATCTTTTAATGCCTTTATTAAAACATTATCCTTCTCAAAAGAAGACTTATAAAATAGCATTTAGAGTAAGATAAGGTTGGAGAATGCCTACCACTCTCTTGTCAGGCACTCGCTGGGTGAACACTCTGTACAGTCTCCACGTCTTCCCCAAAATTGGGCCAAACACCAGGGTACTGCCGATACAAAGAGTCCACATCCGGGCCTGGATGAGAGAGCGCTGCATGGTTATCCAACAAGGACTTATCCGATAATATAATGAGGGATTGAGGGGAACCGCAGGGCTTACTTGTAGCACGGCTGTGGATGCTCCACCCTGTGAGTGTGATCGATCCTCAACGGCAAACAGGAAGCCGCTGCTGTAGGTGAGGACACTCCCAAAGAGAGTCAGGACATTCAGGTTGGGACTGGACATCTTCACTATCCTGATAACAAAACATGAGAAGACACACAATTGATTAATCAATTCAGTAAATATCTTTTCATGGTATTACTCAATGTGTTTCGCCTTGTAGTCTACCTGTTGTTTTTGAAGCGCAGGGTGAAGAGGAGGAAGCAGAAAGCCAGCAGGATGCCACAGGAGAGCAGCGTCCACGCCACGGCACTCAACACAGGGGAGAGAGAGCGCCTCGGGAGCTCCACGGCCATCTGCACACACACACACATGGATGAATGTTATTATTTTAATGACAGATTGAACCACAGCAATATTGTTTTAGAGATTTTATATGTTTAACTGCTATGCCTGTCATCTCTGCTCTGTGTCATTGTGTTGTCTCCTGGGTTCTGTAGTGCCCGGAGTCTGTCTTTTTATCTTTTTCCTCCCAAACCCCATCCCCTCAGGAGGCCTTTTGCCTCCTGTCAGGTCATCATTGTAAATAAGAATTTGTTCTTAATTGATTTTCCTGGCTAAATAAAGGTTCTACTACTACTACTACTACATGCAAAACGCTTAACATCAAGTCTAAAATATGACAGGTGTAGATCATATGAATGTGCCTTATAATCATTGTTTTTATAATAGAGAACATAAAAGCACCAAAAAGAAGCTTCAGATGGATATACAAACTTTATTGTGACAAACAGAGTAGCAAACATCATTTGAAAATGATAACATGTATTTTTTTAAATGTTTGAAAGCAATAAAGCAATAGGAAGAGAGGAAATGACAGATTTCAGACGTTGAAAGGCGAGATGATCATAGGAGCCGAGTTGACCCCGCCATGATTACGCCGAGGGTTAAAGTAGGGGAGCAGTCTTTCACCGAATGAGTATCCGGTGAATGAGTAGATATGAGAAGCAGATTCCACATCGTAAAAAGAAACCTGCCCCCCCTCGACATCCACGAACACCCCGATCCTCTGGGGCTTCCCTACCAGTGGCACACGGATAGGAGTGCTGCTGAGGGCCCAGTAGCTCTTGTCTTTCCTCATCCCCAGGGCCCAGTAGCCTGTTTCAGGGTTTAGTATATTCCCTCCTTTTCTGTTGACGGACTGAAGCCCAACTCCAATATCCCACTCCGTTTTGCCCTTCACTTGGACTTCATAGTACAGCCTTCCAGAGGAGAAACCCTTCTTTCCCAACACGCTGACCCCTGGGTAAAATCTCTCTGGATCATCTGGGGGTCTCAGTGCTACATCCCCGTGATGGACCTGTTTCCTGTTTCCAGACAGCACCAGTTTGGGATGAGCTGTATCAGGGTCCAGAGTCACATCAACAGCACAGTGCTGAACCCTCTTAAATTCAGTCTCACATAGCCTCTTCACCTCAGCCTTCACTGTCTCCTCCAGCTGACACGCTACTCTCCTGACTGCTCTCCTCACCGTGCCCACATATACAGCACTCTCCACGCAGGTGTTGGTCCAGTCTTTGGTAGCTGGCAGTGTGGAGAAAGCTGGAAAGCTCTGGATAAGGTAGAGGTCATCTTCGGTGTGGGAAAGCTGCTCCAGCTCAGCATTTCTCCGCCTCAGCTCCTCGATCTCCTGCTCTAGCTCCAGAATGAGGCCTCTTGCCTTGCCTTCAACTTGCCTCTGCTTGGCACCGATCACCTCGACCACCTCAGCCTGACCTCTCTTGACCATGTGGAGCAGATTGTTGAAGACTTGCAAACTCTCTTCAGTCTCTCTTTCTGTGTTTCCTTTACTGAGCTGAACACTTTGATTGATTTCGCTGATTTTCTCAAGTCGGCCGTGAATAATTTCTTCCACTTCTGCATTTAGCCTTCCAATTTGAGCTCTCCTGTCTCTGCTCTCCTCCTCTATAGGTACAGTGTGATGAGCATTGTGGTCTCTCTTGATGCATATCTGGCACACATAAGTCTGGTCCGTGTTACAGAACCGGTCCAGGAGTTTCTCGTGCTTCCTACACACTCTGTCTTGCATGTTCATCAAAGGGTTGATTAGGTGGTGTTTCTTGAAGGTGCCTAAAATGTGATGGGGCTCCAGGTGGGTCTCACAGAAGGAGGCCAAGCAGTCAAGACATGATTTAAGAGCCTTGACCCCTTTTCCAACACACACATCACATGAAACGTCGCCTTTGTGGCTTGAATATTTGTCCAAAATACTGGCTTCTTCTTCTTCTTCTTTCTTTTCTAATGACTTCTTGAACTGAGAAGCCACGTCGGATATGAAGATGTTAACTTTGAGCTCAGGCCTCCTGTAAAACTTCTGCTTGCACATGGGGCACTGCGACAGATTAGCGCTCTGCCAGTATCCCTGTATGCAGTCCCTGCAGAAGTTGTGCCCACAAGGAGTGGAGACAGGTTGGTTGAGCAAATCCAGACAGATGGGGCAAAGAAGCTGCTCCTCGGTCAGCAAACTGACAGCAGTCGCCATATCTGGGAACACATCCAGAAAGAAAAGCAGGGGGGATTTATAGAAGAGGTTGGCTCCAGTCCTACCATGTTTTTCTTTACACTATGCTATTAGGTTCAGAGACAGTTGTGCCTGGCGAGCAGTCTACGTCCATTAATAGTAACAAATGCATGGTGTTACATTTCATCAAAGCATACTCCATTCTAGCTGCTGAACATGTTTACCAAGTTTACAGTTACCATGTACAGCGACCTTGGGTCCCGTGAAAGGCGCTTTATAAATTCCATTTATTATTATTATTATTATTATTATTATTATTATTACAGACAATAATCAACTTGAATTATTAGGACATTATAATAAAACATTACATGAAAATACAATCGTATTAAAATGTTTTACCATAATAAAACAAATACAGCGCAGTTCAGGGTTCCTTTCATATTAAGTGAAGGTGATTTCTCCACTTTGAGACTGATAAGAAGTAAACATCACAAAGAAGGAAAGAAATATAAAAGATAACTTACCTTGCTTTTATGTGGTGTAGCACCCAGAGGAAGGGAGTCTAAAGGAGAGTGTTTGTGTTCCCTGTAACAGTCGCTCTACTACTAGTTTCTATTTGGAAAGTCACATTAGACTTTCTTGTGCCCGCCTCTTAAAGGCACCAGTGACTGAAAATAAAATACTAAAAATAACTATAGTAGTCCAGTGGCATTTCATTTCCAGATCTCCTCTTTTGCTTTGACCTCTTAAGTGGTAAATAGCACTGGGGTTTTAGATGCTTTGAAATTGTAAAGGTGTTTTTGATATTCCCAATATCTTAAGCTAGGCCCAAGTTTATCAACCGCAGAGGACTGTTCATCTAATCAATTAATCAAACAACAACAAAATAATTACCCCAAAAAAAATGTATATGATGGATACGTTAATTCTACTATTCCAAAAAAGAATAATCACCAGATAAATAGATAATTAAAATAATCTTGCAGCCCAAAAAAACAGCGGTGGATGTGTAAACAAAAGCTATGACCAAAAACTCTAAATAATTTAAAATGTAAATCTTATGTTAATATTATATTAAAGTTGTATTGTAGGAAATTCAGCCCTGTGTCAATAATGTGTTTGGTCTGTCAAAATAAGAGACTACATATGCAATTTAAAACATAGGATAATGTGTTTTTACTCTTTAACCTTTTGAAGGGACAACAATATTCAGTTGGTCGTCAGCCATGCAGGATTTCATATAGCTTTGTCTGCCAATATGTGTTTGAGCGTATATGTATATGTAAGCATAAGCGTGTCACCATGTATATCTGTTTACATGGAGTCTGCATTCTTAAGATATGTACACTATATTTGTGTGTGTGTGTGTGTGTGTGTGTGTGTGTGTGTGTGTGTGTGTGTGTGTGGTGTGTGTGTGTACGTGGTGTGTGTGTGTGTGTGTACGTGTGTGTGTGTGTGTACGTGTGTGTACGTGTGTGTGGTGTGTGTGTGTGTGTACGTGTGTGGTGTGTGTACGTGTGTGTGTGTGTACGTGTGTGTGTGTGTGTGTGTGTGGTGTGTGTGTTGTGTGTGTGTGTGTGTACGTGTGTGTGTGTGTGTGTGTACGTGTGTGTGTGTGTGTGTGTACGTGTGTGTGTGTGTGTGTGACTGTGTACGTGTGTGTGTGTGTGTACGTGTGTGTGTGTGTGTGTACGTGTGTGTGTGTGTGTCGTGTGTGTGTGTGTGTGTGTGTGTGTGTGTGTGTGTGTGTGTGTGTGTGTGTGTGTGTGTGTGTGTGTGTGTGTGTGTGTGTGTGTGTGTGTGTGTGTTATTACCGTGCTGAGACTGCATATTTTCTGCAGAATGTCGATGCCCTCCTGTCGGTTCACTCCCGGGTGTATCGAGCAGAGTGGGGAATCACACTGTGAGCTGCAGTTCAGCTCAGGCTCCATGACTGACCCCAGTCTGTCCACTTTCACACACACATCCTGAGGAACAAACAGATGATACGTTTTTACATATGACAATGATATAACTCTATGTAAAACCGATCTTAGCATTCATGCATACATTCTCTATGCCCAGCAGTCATAACATTTAACTGCACATGTATATCCAGTAACAGGAAGCACCCCGGGGATACACACTTCATGTGCAGTGCGGCTTCTTTTTCCAGGTCTCACAAAATAGTTGCAAGACTTTTAACCACCACAGTGTGGTGCTCTGACAGAAACCTCTGAGTGGAATAGCAATGGGAGCATCCGTGTAATTTTGCACCACAGTGATATCACAGCAAGGAAAACGCTTTAGATCATAACCACAAATAAATGTACCAGACACTTATTTAAAAATTAAGATTAGAATAAAAAAAATCCCCAAATAAAGAGTCAAATATTTACCACAACTGAACAAACTGAGAAGCCAGGGCTCTCTGTGTGACAGGAAGCTTTTTTGTTTTTGCTTATCCTCAATTTCCACTAGCATTACGTCATTACTGAGGCAGCCAACGCAGGAACACACTGATGTGTGGGACCGGCAAAAGGCAGAGCAAGAAAAATAATAAAATGTAACAATTGCATATTACCAAAGCTACAATTTACTTTAAATCGAGTGCCACTCAATCTGCAATCAGCCAGGTTATATAAGGCTTCTGAGAATGAAGATGTTAAATTTGGAGAGCATCAGCAAACAACTGTTTGTCACTCTTGCCACAGGCATTTTTATGAAGCTACCATGTGTACTGACATGTTGCAAATTTAATTATGCGCCACGGTATCACCTGATACTCTGAGCTGTAACTAGAACAGACTGGGAGTCTGATCACTGAAAGGTGCAGTGACTCAGCTACATGTTGTCGAGACCATGTGAGACCAACTGTATCGATACAAATTGGCAGACAGGTGACTGTTTACAGGAGCAGCGTGTTATTAGACAGCACACGACTCGTCATTGTCTGTAGAATGACTAGTCTAAGATACCAAAAGCGCTCTGGGAAAGTTGGAGATTCAATCAAAACAAAGCGGTTTGGGACATCTTTGCATTTGAACATTGAAAGGAAACTGTACAACATGAGTTAAAGACTTGAAAGATTTCCTTGGGGTAGGCCAACATTATTGAGTGAATTCCAATGACGGTTTTCCATAAATTAATGGTGTCAACAGAACAATGAAGCTCTCCAGGCAGCATTTCTGGGAAATGTCTGGAGTTCCTGTTCATTTCCTGTCGTCACTTTCCCAGTTTAGATCACAGTTCTGCTGTTTCCCGCAGGAAAAGACGCCAGAGAGAGGCATTTCCTTCTTAAAAACAAATCCTGCCTCTGTAGCTTTCAGTTTGGTAGAAAACCTGCCACCCTGCAGGTGTCAACAAAGGTCAGTCAACATGCAGCCATGGTGGGGGTCACGGTGTAAGCAGCAGGAACAGGGCCCTTCCCCAGGCTGACTTAGGTTTTACGGACATGTTTTGACAGCTCAGAATAGTCATGAGGAGTGTCTTTTGAAGTCCTGAAGGCTAAACCGCAAGTAATACCTGAGCTACTTGTGGCCTTGAATGTCTTGCTTCAATTTAGGGCGGGCCTTACCTGTGAAGCTTGGCTTTGACTCCTTCACTTCCACTGTGGCCTCACTTTAACTCTTATTTACTTTAATTGGTTGAAATATCTCCAATATTTAATATTTAATATATTGCAATAATATGTCACCCATTTTTACACACCTTTAGGCTCCGAGGGACAGAATTTAGTTTGACTAACTTTTTACCATAATACTTTAAATAAAATAAGTGAGGTAAAGCCCATTCATCGCCCTGTCAGTCCCTATATGTGTCTCCTTTAAGATTAGAGGAAACTCACCACAGGCGCTGCCAGATGTAGCCTAATGCCCGGTTCAGGGGCCAACATTGAAACATTCCTTGCAGAAAATAATCCGTTTATAAACATATTCGTTAAACTGAGTTAGAATGCAATTGCTTGCACTGAAATCCCGCCTCAGGCCCGGCACACGTCAATTCAACCACATGGTGCGTTCACAGCCTGCGTGGTTCAATATTAGTCACCCCAATTTGTCAAACGTCATAAGAATTCCTTTTTGATCTGAGTCTGCACATCTGCTGTATGAGACCATTTAAAGCAAAACACCTGACGAAATGCGATTGGTACATTAATAATTCGTTTACAAAGAGAAAGTTATATAGAAACTATAGTACAGAATTATTGTATGCCCAAGAGAAATTCATGATTTTAGGCTTTTGTAGACCCACTAACGACATGCTCCACTAAAGGGTATCGTGCAATATCTTAATCAGTTGGAATATCCATCAGCAGCTGATTAATTAACTGTTTATTTACACAATCCTGTTTGGTGGAGACGCGTAAAAACATGTGCTCAGCTTCGGTTGCATTGATACAGTTGCACCGTACAGTTTAAACCTATATTTCGCCGAATAAGACATAATGACATTAACGAGTATGCTGAAGAAAACAAGGGGAAAGTAATAAAATATAAGTTTAAAGTAGCAAACCTCGGTCTCCAAAGCGCACGGAGGATCCCATCGGCTCGTCCCGCTCCAGACTCCATCGCTCCAGACTCACAAACTTTACAGTAAAACTTGGAATTAAACGACTGGATAATATGTTACCTAACATAGCTGAAAAGGTCCCATAGCCGCATTCTCGTAATAAATTCCACGGCTTAATCTGTCCGACAAACTGTCAGTCCACAGCACAAGAAGATCCTGTCACTCAGGAAAAGTTCAACTGACTACTGAGTTCTCATTTAAGCTCTGAGGGAGGGAGACGCGCGCGTACACTCTCCCTCTCTCTCTCTCACTCACTCTCTCTCTCTCTCTGTATCTCTCTCCCACTCTTTCCCACCTCTCTCTCTCTCACACACTCTCCCAGCTCTCTCTCTTTTTCCCTCTTGAAATTGCTTTATTAGCTTGTTGGCCGTAACTGTTTACATTTACTCTATCTCTATTCAATTCATATTTGTATAGCTATGGAAGTTATAGCATTTCCATAGCAAATGTGAAATAAAAACAAAAAAACGTAGGTAAAATAGGTAAAGATCTGCTACAATGAAGAAACGCATTGCAAAATCGAATTTAGGCTATTTATAGATATAGAGCTTAAGATAGCCAATTTCAACATCACTTGTTCCCCCCCTTCTTTTGTACCTTTTCAGCTCTTGCTGCCCAAATGGCTTTCAGAGTGTGAAGTGATCCATGTGGGGCAGGGGGGCTGTGACAGTGTGGGTAGCATGCTGCAGGGCCCAGGGGACTGGGTGGCATATGGGACAGGGCGGCACACTCTGTGTCCACAGTGCAAATAAATACAGTGAAAAACAGCAGGTTTTTTTGTGGAAAGAGAAACACAAATCATTGCTATTTCTTTTCCAAAAGCAGGCTTCCATCAGGGATGGCAGGGAGATTAACAAAGTAGCTGATCGGCTGGTAAATCACACACAAAGACAGAAAAGAGCTCCTTTCTGTGAGCAGTGAGCCAGCAGAAATATGATTGCATTTGTTCCGTCAGTCGTAAGAGGCATAAAGGTGTTATTAAGACGTCAAAAAGATTTATAGTGTGAGCCTACAAACAGGGTCATTCCTGATGAGGGAGTGTCACCTCCACTGACAGCTGTAGGAGAGGAACAGAGGCACAAAGACAGATTATTAAAGAAGAGGAGAATTTGCAGATATGCATTCATTCAATCATCAATGCCATCACTTAGTCGCACGCACACACACATACTTCAATTCATACTGCTTATTCTCTTTATGTTTGGTTTTGAGAAAATGTAATTCCCTGCATGCTTAAACCCAAAATCCTTCAGGCATTTAAATACTATGGTAAGTCGCATTTAAAAAAACAAGGGGGGGGGGTTAACATCTATCCAACCAATCATGTCCTCTTTCAGGATGGACTTTTGCACCATTTGCAGTTTTTGGCAATTCAAGCAGGCAAGTAAATACTCTGTTCAGTACAAAACTATGCCTGAAATTCCTGTGAGCTTCACATTCTCTAAAAGAAGATGTAAATGGCTCAATGTTTAAACCCTGTGGAGAATGCAAAAAAAAAAGGAGTTATTTTTAATATGAAGCTACTTACGTATAGGTTTCTACTGGACACAGATGTGAAAATACTTCTTAGTTTAAAATAAGAGCCGGGAACAAGTATTGGGCATATCACGCCACGATGTTTACCATCACAAGCTAAAATCTCTAATGGTAAGGTTAGTAAAAGTGCTATTCTGTACTCGAGATTATTCTTCTGTTTACTGATGCTGGTACTGGGTCCACTATTAATATGGATTCTGATGTCTACAATCATATCAAAAACCACCTAAAAGCAAAAACACATGACAAACTAATCAGCATATGAAATTTGAAAAGCTGTGACACAGAAATAGTGAACTCTGGAAGAAAAGAAGACAGCTGCCTCTCTACTCAACATCACCTGTGCTTTCTGATCAAATGACACCACCCCATTGAATGACTAAAACACAGTTGCCAGCTCTGTTACACCCAAAGCGTGGCAAATCCTCTCAGGTTTCCTCCAAGATCAGGTTCAAGATGGACTGTACCAGCAGCAGTTGGACTGCACCAATGCTCAGATTACCAGGATCCTGAATATTTTATCTGGCGACACAGGGCTCACTCAAAAAGCAGGAGTCAAGAAGCAGAAGCTGGATGAAACAGGACGCGTGTCGCTCTACTGAGGTTACGGGGGATCAACTCTAACATAAAGATGTTCTAATTAACAAACACAGGTGTCACATACAGTTGCCAACTTTTTTCTAGACTGCCATATTGTGCATCAGCTGGAAGTCGGCCAACCACAATAAAAAACAAGTGAGGCTTTCAATCCAGTGACACACGGTTTCCTGTTGAGCCCCTCCTGACAGGGAGCAGCAGCACCGTTTCCTCACATGGAAGCAGCTGTGATTCAATACCTGGCCACAGCTCCAGTATTCTGCAGTAAGACTGTGTGGGTGTAAAGGCATTGTTCCGTGTGTGTGAAGTATCTCCTACCCCCTCCGGTCTTACACTGTCCTTGGCAGAGCCTGGACGCTCCCCTGGGACATGCCCAGGTTTGCCCACTAACACACAAAGACAAATCCCTCTCTGGGAGGCTGAGGCTCCTCCTGCAGGGTTGCTATGGACCTGGATTAGCAGTTCTGGATCAAAGCTCGCCTGCAGGCTCATAGTGTTTCTGCTGAAACAAATGCAGGAGGGAAGCATCAGTCCACTCACTCTACTTTCACAGCTGCTTTTTAAATTAAGCTCATATATGATATCAGATTTCTAGTATAGTCATAACTAACTTGAAACCTGCATTACTTGATTATTTTTGGAAATAATTGTAAATATACCACTATCTAGCTGACAAACTGCCCACTATGTTCATTAGCTAGTGGCTCACTTTCTCTGTCTGGTCTTTGATGTTTGGCAGGTGTAGCAGTTTCCTGGATACTTTAATCCAGTTTACATTAAAACATATCTATTAAAACATCTTTACATGAAGGTAATACAAAACATCTACTAATAATGTGTCAATAGGTCTTTGTAGGTTTTTGTTGGTCAAAAGTTTGACAATGAAAACAGTAAAAAATGTTAACCGAGTCTAATCAGCAGTGCTAATTTCTGGATTTCAAAATGTGGTAAAAGAAATACCTCAAGGCTCTCAAGGCCAAGCTTTATTCAAAACGTTCAACAGTAGCTCCACCAATCAAATCTGGGTCCACTTACTAGCATTTTCAAGACTTTCAAGCGTAGTTTGTAACAAATCTTATATTAAAGGTCCACTTGCTAGCTTTTTCAATTAAATGTGTTATCTCTGACAGTTGAGCAAAAATATTTTCAACTTGAGAGGAAAATGGAAGAAAACTGTCTGATTGCTCAAGGAAAAGTTACTGTAAGTAGAATCTTATCAGCTAAAAATGTCACAACCTGGATGTTAAAGAGATTTTCCTGTAAACTGCAACATCTTCTAGCTGATACGCACTTCCTATTCCCTCCAAAAATGTTGTATCAATATGTAAACTTTTCTCACTTTTTTGTGTAAAGGGGATGATGTTGGGTCAAATGACTGTGATAGCATAATTTTTTTTGTAAACCTTCAAGTTATTCGCCATAGCAATCAAACATTGTTAACCCAGTGGTGTATTATCATTCACCCATTCATCTCTCCCTGTAACCGCGTCCAGCACCTCCTCAAGGCTCTGGGCTCAGACCAGACGTTCTGCTCTGGGATTAGCAGAGTAACTCTGAGGACAACGTCTGACTGTGTGAGGGCGTCTGCAGTGTGTGGCTGTCGTGTGTAAAGGCTCAGCTGAGTGTAAAAGTATAACTCGTCATGTGCGAGGTCTGGCATGCAAGTTAATACACACTGGCTATACTGTGAGCTGATATGAGCCTGTATGCCTCTGACCAGGGGCGATAAGAGGCTTAGAGTATCAAGCACCCTGTACTGTATGTCAAATAGCTTTGCTGTTTGATCTGCTGATCACCTGCAGTGCTGCATTTAATGTGATAGTCGAGAATGAGGTGCCCCCATGAAATTAAGCAACCAAAAACATATTTTAGACACAAACAATCAATTACAACCGGATATACGTAAAATACGACTACAGAGGGAAACATGTACCTTGCAGAGTCGCAGATCACTGGAACAGAGACAGCCTCTTCCTCCTGTGAGACTTCAACTGCCAATCACAACGTACTGCTTCCAGTTCATCATAGCTGCATCAGTTACATCTCAGATTGCATTTGTGACGACACACTCCTAAACACAAAGCATGAAGAATTAAAGCGTGTGTGCACACAAGCATGTAAGGTAACTCCACACAATGTGCTAGAGTCTCGCTGGAGAGTTCCTATGTGCCTGCTGTTGGTGACTGGGTCCTACTGTATGTGAACATGTGTGTGAAAGATTGAAAAGCAAAGGAAACACTGCAGTCACACTGGAAACCAGACGGGACTTGGTCAGACCAAACAAACAATATATGCACTCAAAAGATCATTCTTACCAGGCTAGACTTAAAGAAACTATAAGGTGAAAATGCTAGGATAGGACACAAAGTGTGAGAAGAAACAAGAGGAACAAAGTGTTTAGTGGCCGTTGGCAGGTGATGGTAAAGGATTATTCAGATTGTGCTGAATGCACTTGGCATCTCTAGGTTCTGGCTTAAAGAACAGGTTTCTCAGCATTCAGAGTCAGACTAAAGAATGAACTCACCTTCAAATGCAAATTAAATCTCAACACATTGAAAAAGCACACACTGTTTGGATGGGTTAATGTAAAAAGTAACATTTCAAACTCTCCAATTGTTGTGCACAAAAAACACATTCCCTGTATACTTATCTTGCTTTTTATTAACTGGCATTAAAAAAAACTTTAAAATGAAAATGTCCTACTGTCCTAAAATACTCTCTGCTTTAAAAAATAAAACTCGAATGTCACAATACAGACACATTTTAAAGATATAACAATCAGTCTTTATTATTGTGATTATATTCTGTACAATCTACTTACATTATCTGAATGGGGTACAAGTAAATACAATTAATATATCTCTATATATTTTCTGTTCAAGTGTCATCTATTCTGCAGACTTTAAAATAATATTTTTAATATTTGAAAAAGAATTTCTATAAAAACATTTAATTTTGCTTTGAAAAGGCATTTGTTCTCTTTGCTGCTGTTAAGATAATGAGTACAAAATCACTACAAAAAGATGACTAATTCATAAAGTTAATTTTGTCACATTTCAGGGTGCATATATCACATTTCTTCTCACTCCGTTTTACTGTGTTAGAACTCACCATTAGTAAGGCACTTGTATACTTTAGTATACATGTAGGTGTTACTGTAACATAGAGGAGCTTTCTTCTGTTTTCTAAACATTAAAAAAGGTCTAATGTGAAGCCAAGGGCTCCTCACTCCTCACCTAAAACACAACCGGTCTGATATCTCCCAGCACACACAAATGAAGATGAAGCAGAGATTAAGAAACAGCCATTTCCTGTTTGAAATGATGGTTTCTGTCTCAAAACGACCTGCAGTGTTGGCTCCGTTTACACACATTTATATTCTTTTGTCAAGAGAAAACTGACCTGAACACAAACATGAAGGCTACCGTGTCACACTCAATAGCTTTTGTTACACAGTGATGGTTTTCACAGGCCTGGACAAGTTTTCTTCAGCAATCTCACATAACCCATATACTTGATTCATTTACTATGCCATGATAGCAAACAAGGCTGTTGTGAGTTGACCATGGTGCAGACAAACAGATAAACCTTGATCTTTTCATTTTGTTCGGGACAACACAACCACACACAGTGTAAATAAGACCATCTCACACATTGTACTGGGTAGAGTTTTAACAAAGCTTTTTTTTTTTTAAATCCTAGACTTTTCATCCTAATTGGCAAAGCAGCTTTGATGCTCACCCAGAAGGAGGAAGGCTGTGTGTCACTAGTAGCAAGACCAAATACATACAATTGTTCATATGCAAACTTTCAGAAAATGTATGTACTTTGGCTACTAAAAAGCACCATGTGTCAAAAGATAATGTTTGCTGCATTGAAAACGAAAAGAGCCCTGTCGCTCCTTCACTCACTTTCACAGTTTCACTGCCATCGTATGCTCGACCATGAGACCAGCACTTTGACAGATTGTGGGTTTGCAAGGCTACTTTCACTTGTTTTACGTAGTGTAATATGTGGTGAGAGAACGGATTCCTTCTATACATTTCAATAAAATGAAGTCAATACGTTTCCAGGTCCGTAGGAGGAAGTTGTTCCAGACAGTAAAGTAGCATTACTGTGTGTCTGAGTTTATGTGGAGTAAAGTCTGACAGCCAGGTTCATCTCTGTATAAGTGGTTAACAGTGACAGGACTGACAGGCTCAGAGGCTCAGAGGCTGCTCCATAACGTCGTCCTATCCCAGAAGCACCCTCTGCAGGCGGTAGGCGGGCACGCTGCTCTCGTCCTCTGACTCTGCGTCGCTCTGGGGGTTGGAGCTGCATGGAGACGTGCACTCTGGGGAGCACAGGTAGTGCATGAGGGGCAGCCGGTACTTTCCACAGAAGTCCACAAACTTGATCTGGCGCACACATGAATCAAAATAGACGCCTGGAAAAAGTAAGAGAAGAAACAAAGACAGGTTTAGGTTACTTGTGTTATTCTGAGAGAATGTATCTATACATTAACATAAGACTAATCACCCTAAATTCAGATGTAAGCAAAACAGCACTCATATGCAGGCTTGGGAAAATAGGTAATGAATTTTGTAATATTAAGTATCTTTCTCTTTGGTGCGGCTTCGTATACGACAGCATATGTTATTAAAGTGGTTCTGGACCAAGGCCATATCATCAAAAAACATCTTCATGCACAAAGTTTGGCAAATGTTGACCTCAAATCTTTGCCTTTCTCTCAGATACATTTTGGATATAGTTGACCTTTTCAGGTCTCTGAAATGTCTTTTAAAGTATTTGTGCTTTATGTTTGAATTGGTCAAAAACTGTAGAATAATGACAAATCTTCATTTCATGGGGTCATACTCACAAACTAAAAAAGAACAGTCGGTTGTAAAAAAAGAAAACTGAGCTCCATACTAAAATAATGATAATTACAAAATTGAACAAGATAAAAAAACCTCAACATCAATCTGTGCATTTTCTTCATGTAATGTAATAAAAGTGTCTCACCGGCACACTTGGGGTTGGGGCACTTGCTGGCCAGGTCCAGGTAGCCGAGCAGGTTGGAGGGCAGGTCGCAGGGCGAGTAGGGAACATTCCGGCTCTTGGCGGTGCGTGCTGCCAACTCTAGCAGCGACGGAGGGTCGTAGGTCATCTCCTTGACAAAGCGCACGACCAGTGGGTTGCCACGGAGACTGAGCTCTTGCAGATGCACAAGGGAGAGGATCTCCCTCGGCAGGTAGGTGAGCAAGTTGTTGTGGAGACTTAAAGATCTCAATGAGTAGAGCCTGGAGTGGGACAGAGAAACATTTTCACATACAAATTGACTACAGAAATTATTAGATAAATGCATATACAAATCTGGCTTTATGTAATCTGGAAATCAGGTTACAAGACACTGGTTTTGTTACCTGGTGAGCTGTGGGGGGACACTTTGGATGCGGTTGTCACACAGGACCAGGTAGCTGAGGTAGGGCAGGTTAGCCACTTCTGGAGGAATGGCTGTGATGAAGTTTCCACCCAGATATAACAGCTCCAGACTAACAGAAAAAAGGGACAAAAATAGTTGATTTTTTGTTTAATAGGTTTAATTAAAGTATTTTATCTATTTTATGGAAACACAAAATTAGGAGGGATCAATTATTTTGTGGTGTAGCTTCAACGTTTGCAGTTTGTAGTAACCTTTGCTTCAGTTTTAAAGTGATCATGTTTTGTAGGTAAACATGTCATAAAAGGAAACTTTTCTGGCAAACAAAACTGAGTGAGTCCAAGTTAAAACTAATACATACCACAAGGGGGAGCTAAAGATGCATGGGTTCATGCTGAAGCGTTTATGTGCATGTTTTTGTCTCTACATTTATTTAGTAATTTACTTGGAAGCCTACTCATCATCAAATCAGACAAAAGTGAACAGATAAAACAATAGGTCCAAAATTGTCTCTCATCATTACGACATTACTGTAAAGTACACACTTTGTTGCTTCATCAACTCAGGAAAAGGAGTGTGCAAATATAACATTTGCAATACATGTACATTGTTGTTAAAGCTCCTAACCAAGACAAATTTAGTTTGATATTTGATGACTAGAAGAAAAAACTGCTTCCATGTTTAGTGTGTACATGTGTGTTGTATTAGGACAACAAAAGGACGCCGGTAGGTTAATGGAAGTATGGAGTACACAGGGGGGGTAATTGGGAGTGAAACAGAGAGATGGGGTGAGAGAAATGGATAGCTGGTCAGCAAAAGTAAGCTGTCCGGCCATCTGCCTGCTGGAACTGATGACACAGCGACTACGAGACAGGAAGCCATTACGCTGTCCTTGGTGGCGGAGCACTGAGCCCCTCTGTGTTAGGAACTGAGACATTTGGGTCTCCTTAATGGCCTCACAAACACAGTGAGAAATGGAGGTTAAGAATGATTAGCAAAAGAGTGAATCAGAGACAATATAAAAAGCTTTCTCACGTAAACTCAATCAAAGATGTTTTCTCTGGGCCATGTCCCCCCCACCCAAGAATAACTGGGTCACGGTTTCTTCTTTAAACTCATCAAGACGTGTGGATGTTACACATTAATATAGTATTCATCCATGCTTTGATTATATGCGCGAGTGTTTTGTAATAAAAAATATATGTGAAAATAAATTCTAAAAATGTATTAAAATAACAAGCACATGTGTGTCCTCAATACACCAGAAGATACCTTTATTTGGCTTTAAGCTGCTTGAGTATTTACGGTAAATTAAGTATTTGGAAACATCACTGAAGCCTAATTGTGACAAAAACATTATTAAGGCATTGTCTCCCTTTAGTAAAAGGAAACCATGGGACGTTTGACAGGAAAGGGTTACTACAAGTTATAGTACATGAAGTGGCTCTTATGTTTGGCCTCTTACTGAATGTGCAACACCAAAGTGTTAGCACATGATAAAGTAATAAAACAAATTGGATGTTTGATCACAGTGACCCATGGGTCACAGTGACCCATGGGTCACTGTGACTTGCTACTGTTAAAGTCTGGAAATGATAAGATAGTAAAGTCAGGACTGACCTCCTTTTCTTCCAAAAGCATTACAATGAGAAATTAAGTGCTAGTTTGTTTATTTCTATACGTGTTATATATTATTCCACATACTTTGCATTAGGGCTGCTCGATTATGGCAAACATCATAATCTCGATTATTTGGGTCAATAATTGATATCACAATTATTAAACGCTTTAAAAGAACAGTATGTTTTTAACAGTTGATTACCCTGAACTTTAAGCATAATTCAACTGAATTTTTTTAAACAATAAAAAATATATGAATTAAAATAAATAAATAATCGTTTTATTTCGATTATGTTGTTTTCATAATCGTTGCAAGCCAAAATCGTAATTGCGATTCAAATACGATTAATTGAGCAGCCCTACTTTGCATACTCTTTAAAGAATTGTCAGTTCAAATAAAGACTTGGCCTACTATGTAGGATGAGGGGCCCCTTCTTTAATCCTTTTGTGTTTTCCTTTTTGATATAATCGCTTTGAATACAAATATAGTAATGATTGTCACAAATATTCCATGACACTTTTTCCAAACTTTCCCATAATAAAAAACAGCCGGGGGTTGTTACTGGCACAGCAAGTAGTAAACAACTATCCTGCACATACTATGAATCATGATGTTTACAAGACATAGTGACTGGAAACGATCCCAGAAGCACCTTTTACAGCTTTCGGTACATTCTGCAATACACTATTGATAACAAGTGGTTTAAAGCTTTCCAGTTAGAGCACATGACATCAAATTTTGCAATATACCACACGTGAGGACACATGTTTGGTTAAAGGCTGATATGGTTAGAGGAATGGCATTGCACGAGTGTATGCACTATTATAGGCACTTTGTCTCTATGCCATTTATTTGTTTTTACTTCAACTACACTTTTACAATGTACAAATATGTTCACTGTCAATGAATCTGCTAATTATGTAATCAGTTGTTCGATTTCACTTGGTCCACTACATGTCAAAAATGTGTGAAAGATGCAAATGTCCAGCAGACACAGTTAGCAATATAAAGTCCAGAAGGGAGGCTTCGAATCACTTAATTTATAAAGTTAAATGAAACAAATTATCAAAATGTTAAATATTAAGTCTTTGTTAATTACATTTATTAATATATCATTTAAGATGTACAGCTAGTTGTCACGTTTTGCTTAAAATACTAATATTAAGCTAAACATTTTTGTTTAGATAACTCGACAGTTTGAACACTATTGTACTGGTTACTCATTTATAAGTGAGGTAACCATAGCAACATCGCTGGGTTCCATGTTATACTGAAGCTATCAACCTAAACCGTACTTAAATAATGTGAAAACTGTCATTGCACTGAAGTCGATAATATTCGCCGAAAAACAATAATACACTTGGAATGACCTAGATATAGAATATTGTGGGATATATAAATAGAATATTGATATAGCTACCCTCTTGACCTACCTGGTTAGATTTTCTATCTCTGAAGGTATGCTTTTCAGTCTGTTTCCGCCGAGGGAAAGCGACTGCAGACGGACCAGCTTCATACACTGAAGTGGTATCTCCTCGAATCTATTCCCACTAAAGTTCAACACTTCCAGCTGCAGAGAGCCGAACTCTTTGGGCAGCGAGAACTCGTCCAGTCGGTTGTTCTTGGCTATCAGCTGCCTCAGCCTGGGCAGCCGTGTTATCCCCTCACAGATGGCCGACAGCCCGTTGTTGCTGATGTCCAAAAACTCGAGGTTGCAGAAAAGGCTGACCGACGAGGGCAGCGAGGCTAACCGGTTGTAGTTCAGGTAGAGCTGTTTTGTGTCCTTCTTCCTCTCGTCGCTAACACTGTCGACGGAGAAAGTGTCCAGGCTCAAACGGGAGTAGTCAAGCACGTTGTCGCCTACTGCTGCTGCTGCTGCCCCTTCGCGAATCTCCATTTTGGTAGTTTTAGCGTGAATTTAAACTCAGAACTAAGTCCTTGCAGAAGTTGTTGCTTTTTAGGCTGAACGCCCACGTAAACCGCGAGTTAGCTCCAGGACTTGTTGTCTGTTTTGGACCTCAAGAATGGGAAGATTTCTACACAGCCGCTCGTAGAAACCTAACCACATCACAAGAGGGAAATCTAGGTCACTACTTTTGTACTGAGGACACGCTACTGTAGCTACATGATCCAACATTGAATGTTGTGTGGCTCTCCTACAACGCAACCGTTCTTTGACTGAATCGTTTGCGTCCATGTTTAGACATTGGCTCATTCTTGACACTGACCCCGCCCACGCACCCGTTGATTGGTTAGTCTCCCAGTCTGTCATTACTAATCAAGAGATTTGTAGCAGGTTTATATGGGCACCGTTTATTGATATTTTTATAGCCGTACAACAACACGTTGCTGTGTGTAATTGCGTTGCGTAATTTTCTCAGGGTAGTTACAACAGAAGATTGATGGCCGATGATCCATCATGCCAACTGTCCAGCCTTGTCTGCTATTATGCAACACCCCTCTTTTATTGCATTATGCAATAGGCTACTCACGCTGACTTGGGTGTGCATAGAATGTGAATATAGTACAGGATAATCGGGTTGCTCCCACTGTAGTCAGATCTATCCACATGCCTGTCACTGCCGTTCATTTTATAGCTTGCGATATGATGAGAATTAGGGCACATTCAAGTTGTGTACAGTTTTGAGAAACTGCTTATGGCTGCTGTAGTTAGTTAACACACTTTAGAATCAAAATATAAATGATAAGATAAAATGCAGAAGATGTTCAAACGTCCAAATGTGGAAATGGTTTCACGTGGACCAGCTAAAATACAGGGCTGTTTAAGCCTAAAAGTGCACTTGGCCCTCATATTACCTTTACAATGTACTATAATAGAGTATGAATGTAAAGTTATATGCAAGTGCTTCACAGAACATTACCAAAGACAAGAGCAAGACATTACAGAGAAAATGGCTATTAAGAAAAGCAAGGGAAAAATAACTAAGTCTTGATAAGTTTTGGAAAATATATTTGTGAAAGAAACTGTCTGGTAATAACAACAATTTAGGATTTTAAAATACACAGGCTGTCAAATGAGAGTCTACAAGGGAAGTAATGGGTTCCTTATGTATTTGTTAGTAAGGAATAACAGGATGAAGGGGAACTTCCTCTTTCACTTCAGTATTTTGAAGTTGTAATTTGGTAAAAGCACACACACATACAAAGTGACAAAGCCATGCTATGGTGTATTGGGCTTTATTGGCATACATACATACTCCTTACAGTCTGCACCCTTAGTGGAATATAACGATTTATCTTGAACCTAGTAATGCAACTTTCACACAGACATTTATCAAGGATGGAGTCACAAAGCACTATTTAACTGCTAAACTTCAGCAAAGCACACTCAGGAACACCTATGTGCAGGAAAAGGTAGAAACCATACTTTTTGCAGGTCTAAGGCACTGGTTTTATTGTCAATCCTTCCAATTTAGATACAGGATTTTAACAAATACACATTTTACAAACCAAACTACTCTCAGCATCACACTTCGTTAGCACACACACACAACCACACACACACACAATTCATATTCACCCGGTTATTGATGCGTCTACGCTACTATAGCTGAGGCTAGTCCTTCTGTATGTGATTTTGAAAGCACAGGTATAGTGTTGTTGCTGGGTCCAGAGTAATGTTTTACCTGGAGATTCAAACATTTCATCAAAACTTTGGTTTTACTTTTCATCATGCTATATTCAAAGATCAGGTCTCACCTTGGTGCAGTTGCTCCACAGTGACAGCTGGACCACTACGTCTTTGTCTCTCAAGACACAGACAGAAATGTTTAACCAAAAAGCACCAGAGAGACTTGCCTGAGCATAACATGGGAACAACAGTTCCAACTCAAGCTGATAAAACATCGTACATAGAATTGAGCTAAACTAAAGCATAAGAAAGCTAGAAAGGAAAGAAAGAGAAGTGCATTGGTCAAGTAGTGGCCTACTGTGGCAGTTCTATATATGGCAACAAAATCAAAATCACTAGTAGCTTTACCCTCTTGTCCCATCTTCCTGAACCAAGATGCTGATCGTAAAACCTGCGAGGGAGGGGAGAACAATTCTGCAAGTAGTCAGATCTCCAACAGCTCCTGCATTTCAACAGATTAACTCCTAGATCCTTTCAACACTACTTTCTCAAACAACGACTCCCAAACAGTGAAAACTTGACATGTTTTTTTTCTTCATAATAACTGTAAAAATATAAGGATTGTTGTAAAAAATAGCCCCAGCACTAGTGTAGAGGCAATAATACAATCAAATATGACAGTACTGAACACAGGGGAATCCTATAATACTCTATGATTGCCCCTGAATCTAACAAACATCAACTCAAACACTTAAACATCGTAAAAAAATGTATAATAATTAACAGAGCAAGAAACATGGAAAAGTCAGTATAATAACACATGTTCGCTGAATAAATCAAGTATGGAGAAAGGGTGATGACGTGAATCCTCTCCTTCATTGTTTCCTTATTTAGGCCTCCTTTGTGCTGCTGGACTTCATCTTCTCAACAGTTTCCTGTTTCCAAAACAATGAAAAGGATTGGACAAAAAAAAGTGAGATATAGTGTACAATTTATTTAACACACTGGATTTATAATGATGTAAGGAAATCTTTGTAAAATCTTTGAAAAAAAAAATCAAATGTAATGCTTTATTCATGAAAAGCAACATTGATGATTTGTAGCAATGTCCTTATGACCGAGTTCAGCTACACCTGGTCACCTCAAACTCGCACCTACACAGCCAGTTTTGTTTACAAAAGCCTCATAAGCTGCCCTTCTGGAGTAGAGTGTACATGACCTTGCTGACTCAGCCATGGACTCAAGCCAGAGCCCTAGTCCTACATAAATAAGCAAGCACACACACAAGAGCAGAAATGCCACCAAAACATTTTGACTGTAGAGGTTCCAGAAAGATTTTCAGAACTTGGTTCTAGAACTTCATTCCTGGGCTACAGAGGTTCTAGATCAGAATTCCTGGTCTAGAGAGGTTTTAGAGGCAGCACGTCTTTATGTGTTGTCCAGGAGGTTCCAGCACTTCTTTTTAGACCACTGTTTGTTTCCTTAACACTGCATTATTCCTTTATGTTCTAAGTGATACCCAGACCGTTTTTAAGCATCAAGTGTTCTACCATTATAATAGGCTATGTGGTTTAGAGAGCACTTCAACTAGACTCCAATTAAAGCAGGAGGGTGGATTTGGCGTTAGGGCTGTGAAAAATATACATTATATTTACACGATAACAGTGACACTAATAAAACATTGATCTATTAAGGACTATGAGTGGACAATTAACAGTTGACATGTTGACTTCTGACAAATGTAGTTAACATATCACATCATGTTAATGCTGCTATTTTGATTAAACTTAGTTGTATACATCTTTCAGTGTTACTTAATCCACAATTATTTTATTTTACGATTCTTACTTCTGTGTGGCATTGTTAAGGGCTTGTGTCGTTGGATTTTCTATGGCACGGCTTTGTATTTTTACATTTCTAAATCCTTTAACTGGTTTCACTAATTCCTTCAAAGTATAATTCACTTTTAAGAATACCCAGCTATATATGTTTATGATTGTGAATCATTCACACAAAACCTTAGTTTAGGACATCCACTTTACAATCTATATAATAAAAGAAAAGGTTGATGATAATTTTCTTTCTGCCATATTCCCTGTATTTCATATCCATGGCAAATTCATAGTTTCATCGACCTTATTTAGAAAACATCTCTTTATTCCCATCTTTTTCATTTATTGCTACTCTTTAAAAGCCAAGATTCATAAAATTGCTGATACCCTGGTTCACTGAACTGTGTAAGGTTGGTACAGTCACATACAAATGTACAACTACCAATTCTTATGTGAATTGTTTTTTGCTGGCTGAGCAGTTTGATTCAAATGCTCTTTGCCCTGGGACACATTGCAAGTAATGAAGGTTATATCCTGAAGGAATATAAAAGAAGTCACTTGGGTTATGGCTCAATGTCAGGGATATTACATTGACCTTACAATACGTTTATTCCTATGAGCAGAGGGCAGTGATGGCGCTTTGAAAATACACATTGCAAGTTTTGACTTTGGAAAGGTGCTTTTTTCGGACTTATAATTTACGTGCCATATACACGATGAGCACATTGCATACTTTTTCTTGTTGACAGGGGTTTTCAGATAACAAAGACAGACCTGGTGCTTGTTGAGCTCGGCCACACGGAGGTTCCACTCCTCCTCAGTCATCTCCGCCCCAGCATCCAAAGACTCATCCACAGCTGCCGTTTTGTCTGCACAGATAACAAAATAGTCAAAAATGGCCACAAGGCTGTTTATTTCAATGTGTTTGTGTGTGATTAAAATGACCAAAAGAATAAATAGCATAAAGATCATGCCCAGTGTTTGAACTCACCAGTGCAGGTCATAGCAGTGCAAACCCAGTTGCCGCATGCACAAACACATCGGTTACACTCGACCTGGGTCTCTGCTCCGTCCTCATATGTCTCATCCTCCAAGGCACATTCTGCAGAAAGACGCATGGCAAACTTAGATAGTAAAAGGTAAACTGCAGATAGTAGACTGCAGCAGAAACAGCATTTAACTTTAATCAATTTGCATGACCAAGACTTGTCAGCATTTACAAATGCCACATCATCCATTCATCCAGTAGTTTCATTTGAAAGTTGTAGGCCTTTGGCATGTTTTTGCTTACTAATCAGTAGTCAGCGATGTGTGTGTGTGTGTGTGTGTGTGTGTGTGTGTGTGTGTGTGTGTGTGTGTGTGTGTGTGTGTGTGTGTGTGTGTGTGTGTGTGTGTGTGTGTGTGTGTGTGTGTGTGTGTGTGTGTGGTGTGTGTGTGTGTGTGTGTGTGTGTGTGTGTGTGTGTGTGTGTGTGTGTGTGTGTGTGTGTGTGTGTGTGTGTGTGTGTGTGTGTGTGTGCTTGAGTCTGGTGAAGCTCCAGGGTTCAGTGGTCCTACCAGAATGTTATTTCTCTGACAGAGCCTCTGCTTCCTGTGAACTTTATCCCACATAAAGCTGCATCACATGACTGAGCAGACTGAAATCAAGACTTCAAGACTCCAGACTGCAAAAGAACATGTTGTGATGTGTGAACAGCACAGCGATCTGACAACCTCGAATGTTGTGAAATGAGAACCATAGCTAAAAAAAACAAGCAATTTGAGGCAGTTTGCCAATTGTCAGGACTGCC